AAAGATTACAATATGTTTCAACGGACAGATAAAATGTTCTTTGATAAATATTTCAATATTAACATGAAAAGGCAATATAGAGTGTGATTATCGATTTCGGTGTACCAAGTACGTTATGAAACATATATTTTTGTATTTACTTTTAACATTACTTTTAAGTCACTCGTTGCTTAAGATAAATTCAGAGATGAAAAGAATTTGGAAAACAACTAAGCTTTGACATAAGCGAGACATTTAACCTTCAGATCGGTATAACATAACCTTAAAAGTGACATTATGTCGGTTTTTTGACATGTAGGTTTTTTATGACATAAGTCAACTTCAAAATGAATGGGAATGAACTATTGCACACTAGCCTGCTTAATCAAGTTGAAATGTAAATGACTTGTAAATATTTGTTCATCTGGAAGCTTATCTTAAGTAACGGCGACTACATTATGACCGTTTCCGGTATTTACATTTATATACTTTACACGATAACATCAAAAAAAGCCTAAAATTATAGGAGAGTGTACACAATCAAACAAACGGTTGCTGTTACTCATCTAAAAAGGGACTAAGTCTACAAAACTACGTTTATATGATATCTAAATACATATTTTTTGATATGAGGTTACTTACAGCAGCATCTGCAATTCAATTACATACTCATTATTTATAATATTAACTTTATATAAGCAAAAATGAACAATCCTTATTTCTTAAAGTTACAGTATTTCAAAGTTGAAAATGAGCCCTTTGATCAGATCGGAAATATTAGAATTTCTACAACTTCGTTATACTGTATTTTTGAAATTTCCTAGCTAATTTAAAAAATTTTGAACCAAATATATTCGGGTAAACTGTGATTTTTAATGAAAAAATAATATTGATACAACATGTATGTAATATAAGAAAGCTGTAACCTCATATTAAACATTGTCTCTGAGTATATGTACTAAAAATATTTCTACATTATGTATATAAATACGGAAAATTGGTTCGGGAAACTAACATACAGGGTCATTTTCAGTAAGATTTACATATTTACACGATACATTTAGATTGTCAACGCTAATATAGACATTTTGTTACAAGGAATTCACATTAAAGTTTTTCTAGTGCAGGGCAAAGGTTTACGTTATATCTATACTTTATTTTCACAATGTGGAAGTTTTTTTCAGTTTGTATCAAAATCCCTATTGCGAACTATTGAGTCTTGCTTTTCTTCTTTGGGTGCGCTTCAGATCAGTGTACGACCCTGCATTTAGTCGAGTGTTTCAAAATTTTGGAAATTGACAACTGTGGAATGCACTATGAGAAGAACGAAAAGCTTTCATTGTGTCATATGACTTGAGTCAATTATTACAGCGACCAAGAATAGTCTTGTATAGTCTGCTGATATTCAAAATGATCTAATTTTTATACTCCCACAGTTGCCCCGTGAAATTACTACGTTATATTGCTACAAAACATAGAAAATTGCTTTGAATTTAGAATATTAGTTCTTCAACTGTACCGCAACTTGACAAGAGAGACAGTATAGTTAACAGCATACCCAAAGTATGTGATGAAGACGCGTGTCGGTCATATTGCATTATTTATTTCATACTAAATTTTAATTTTTTCCTCAAACCGAAACAAAACCTAACCCGGTCCTGCTCCTCGACCAGATCAAACGTCAGCACGTACCTTTACTCGTCGGTTCTAAAAAGACAAAACAAAAATGGCACACTCACAGCAATATCGGACTTGTCCATATTATTTTAATTTACTGTGAGTGTCTTCGAAATGCTACCGAGGCTTCACGATCGCGTGCAGTTCGCTTTTCAAGGTATTTCGTGATGTCATTTTTATTTGGGGCTAAATGAAATGCTTAGTGTAAAACTGAGGTGAACACGGTCGACGAACTACTTGAAATTTCTTTTCTATGAACGGCGAGTGTTTTTTATTTTTTTTTACTTTTTCGCTGTTCGATCACACACCATTAAAAAAATGAAGTTGACTCTACAAAATTTACTAAAGAACCGACCTTGATAGTTATTTTCACCACTAAACCTATAAGATTGATATTGGGTTTCCTAGCAGCATACATTTGACCTTTAGTGATTACTATGACCTTGGTCTTCAATTCGCATTTGATCGTAAAATTTTCCGCTCTTTCAATTGCCGGCATCAAAAATATGGTTTTCCATTGCAAAAACGAAATTGACCTTGAAACGACCTTGAAGGTGGGAATCGAGGTCACCATTTACTCCCATGTTAAAATTGAATAAAGATCTGAATGATAGTTTTCATTACTTGTCCTGTGAGATCTATAGAAGTTTTTCTAGCAGCACACATTTGACCTTTAGATGACACCATGACCTTGGCTTTCAATTCGTAGCTGAACATAAAAGTTTCCGCTATTCCGATTGATGGCTTCAAAAATAGTGATTTTCATTAAAAAAAGTTTACTTTGAAATAACCTTCAAAGTGAAGGTCAATGTCAAATCCAAGGTCAGTGTTGTTTATGAAAAAGAAAGTCCCAACGAATTATTTATTCGGTCAAAAAGACCGACAAGCGCCCTCTTTATACTTGGTGACGCCTTAAGCTTATTGAAGAATAGATTTTCATCAAGATATACGTTAATAATACATTTGTTTTGAATACCACTAACTTTATCTAATTGGAAATCACAGTAAGTTGCACAATTTATCCACCACTTACATCAGTACATTCATACAAGGTATAACTTACGTTAAGTTAATAAATATATGACGAGTCAATATGTTTGTATCAATATTTGAAATGCAGGAATTATAAGACCTAAAAATAAAATTTGTACTTATCGAAATTAATTTGTTTAAACTAAATATCACATAATTATGTAGTAAGGAAATTGTAAGCGCTTGTGCGTATTGATATTGGTTTCAAAATTCTTAACTTTTTACTTGAAATTGATATTTATAAAGAGGGACAGATTCTTCGAAATCAGAAAAGTAAAAAGTCGACGGGGTGAAAATCCGGCATTTTTGTGAGAAATTTTTCATCTCTTTCACCATCAGCAAATTTGTTTAAACAATTGTTTATGAATCAATTACAAAATACTGTTTTTTTTGGAAAGTAATAATTTTTTGGGTATTCTGCTTTTAACTTAAATACGGTCATAAAAAAATTGAGTTTCAAGAAAGAGAGGTTTTCTAATACGGATATTCCTTTTTGTAAACTTTATACTGGACAAGATTTTCTGATATTTAAAGTACAAGTAGATGATGAGTCAGCTTATCTGTATTAATCTGTCTCGGTGCAAGTATCACTCTACATTTACGTGAAATTTCAGAAAGTCTTATCGTATTCGTCAGTCAAAAAAGAAAAAATATTCTGTACGTTCTATACTTTCTTCTAACGTGAAAAATGGGTGTAAATTTATGTAAAACAATATCATTTGCATTAAAGACATCATCAGCAAATATCCTTAACATGTTTGAATCTAACTCAGTAAATATTGCTTTCAATATGCTATTAAGACATTTTTCATGTATTCTATAAGATTTTATCGTGCATACATCTAGTAGATACACAGAACCATGCGTGTTGGTTATTAAGATTTTGTAGATTTTATATTCGATTAAAGAATAAAAATAGAAAAATAGAGAAAAGTAAAAAAATAAATAACATTTTCGACACGTCATTCATTATAATAAACACCTATGAGATCTCAGGAGTTGGTTAGGGTAAATACACATATATTTACCTTATAGTATAGGAATAATAGCAACACTTAAAAAATTACAGAGTTCCAAAGACGTTTAGTGTCAGTCATATAATCACAAAAATGTGTGTAATCAAGAATCAAATCCAAGCGGATAACCAAAATTTCCATATTATGTACCGCGGTTATAATATGGTTCAAGATGACACACGGGATGATGACGTCAGTTGCTCGAATCGCTTGAACGCGTTGGTTTTAACCGCGGTTTGTTGCAAGTTGTTTATTTTAGAAAAGCGCGTATATAATTTCTGATTATTTTTATTATCACTTAATAATCGTTGCTTTTTCGTCCACAACGGGTTATGGAAAGTTGAAAACAGAAAACTTTCATAATATTAACGGGAGGAATGTTTTTTTTTTCAGAAAAAATTTTTTACTGATGGAACCATGGCTTTGTAGCTATGATAACTTTCATTTCTCTAAACTTTTCCGCATGGCAAAGAAAATATTTATTGATTTAGCAGAAATGATGAAAAAGCGATGAAAAAAGATATTAACAAAACCGTATACAGGTGGACATCATCCAGTGAGTTTACAAACGCCATATTTTAATATTCTTGTGGTATATGGCTATTCAGGATACTTTGTTAAGCGTAGGAACTAGATTTAAAGTGTATCCAACAACAGTAATGACTATAAATAATAAGGTGCTCTCTTATGCTAAAACTGAAGTCAGCCTGTATCAAGTTTCCAAAAAATGAAGCTGAAGTACAATAAAAATATCCAATACCCGGCAAAATTCTAACTTGTCACATGTCAAATAATAACCAGAAATATAAAACTACTCCTGAGTTGGGTAAATACCACAATTTTGCGGTGATAACTATGACATATAACAGCTGATTCATGACGTCACGGATCTTATAACCAAACTGATTACCACACTCGCTTGAACGGATCGGTAAATACCAATCCAAAATGGTAAGTACCATTTCCATTTGGTTATCCGCTTGAATTTGATTAAGGTATCAAGTAATGTGGGGACACTTGGGTACTGCTTGACTTTTATTTCAATCGGTCAGTGCAAAAAGTCCCATAATTTGAATTTTCCTAGAGATAATAAAAAGTGTGTCACTGACAAATCCAGTTTGAGTACTTTTTTGGGCTTAATGCAGTGTTTGTGCTTCAACAATTTCGGCAGGGGTATTACGTATTTTGGAAAATGTGATTCTGTCTGCTTTTTTTGACATTACGTAGGTTTACTAGATGTTAACTTAACAAAATCTGATGTGCACTTGTTGTGAACTCGTATTGTAACTGTACGTGTTGCCTAAACGTCAGCGAATAGCGAGCAAATGTGGAATGAACTATTTTCACACTAAAAACTACCTAGTCTCGAAGATGACATTTTGTTGATTTTTTCGACGTTTTCTTTTTAAGTTTTTTTACATAATACCCCTGCGGATAACCTCCTCAGTTTATTAATAGTAATAACGGAGAAAACCCGAAAATCTGTTATGGACAAAAAAATAGGGTTAGTTGTAAAAAAGACTTAAGCAGAAGAATCATATTAATCATATTTTTCATTACTGACTGTTGAAAAGTACCCTGAAATATTGATTTATTAACATACCAAATGTTTTAATTTTGCACGTTTTAAGATTTTCACAGAACATTAAATTCGTTGAAGCCTGTTTCAATCAGAGATAAGTGTCATTATTCCCATACTATAAATACTACATACTAAAAAACTTTATAAACCTTGTGTCAAATCCTTAATTGCTTGCAGTATCCTCTTGACATGACCCACTTTGGTGACCCCAAGGTCTTTGAGGTCTCTGCGGGCCAGCGTGAGTAGTTCTCTGCCTCTGATATCGTTTTTCTCGAAGCTGTCAATATATTCTGACAGTTGCAATGTCTCTAGCCACGTTGCCACTTCTTGGGTGCCCCAGTTGGCAACCTCGCGTTTCTGACTCGTCTGCAGCGAGGAACCTTTCCCGCGGAATTTCAACCAGAACAGACCCTTTCGTTTGTGCTCCGACTGAAAAATTTAATCATAGAGAAAACTTCTAGAAAATGATACTTTGGTTAAGTGTATTATTGGAGGGTCAGGGTTCCCGTGTTTTTAAGTATTAGGCAATGACATCTACTTTAGGATTTATACAGAGATAATTGAAAAACTTAGAAACAACATGCTGATAGCCTACTCATTTACTCTGCATCTAAATAAACATGGGCATTCGATCTCTGATTTTATTACTTGTTGTTGGCTGTCCAAGCATTTCCCTACTAGCAAGGTAGTGCTATAAGCTTTTGGTAAAAGAACCTTTCAGCCATAAAAGCTCTCTATTGTTGTTGCCTGAACACCAAAATGAAAATGCTGGCTTAATGTTGTGTGGAATGCAAATTTGCTTTCTGCAACATATTTGCTCTGAAATGAGGTGTTTAAAATATTCTTATAGCATAGTTACACAACACCTTATAGGACAAACTTTTAACTGTTGCATAAACTTCTATACAACTATTTTGTACGGCATATTTGCAGGTTAGTCAAAATGGTTGTGTTGTGGCATCCATGGTAACGTTTATAAAACAAACCCGAGCCTTGTTGTTTTGCTGTGCAAATTTACTACTTTAGCCAACAAATTGCTCCCAACGGAAGCACTTATACAACTGTTGTTTAGTAACTGTTAAAGGCTGTACATATGCTAAATATGTTGGTATACAACTTCACCATAACCTAACTTTCTGCTGTCATATTTTTCTTAAAATGCCATAATCAATGTTTTAAGACAAACAACGCATGCATATTGGTTAAAAAGGTTTCATTAACTGTTCAAACAGAAGATATAGATCTGGTACAAATTGTAGGTAAATCATTCGACTCTGTCGGTATTTCATTTCTGACGTTTGTCAAATTGTTGTATAACACCTGCAGGCAACACCAAAATATTCTAATAAACTAAAGACAACATGGACGATGCCATGATTATACACAATCACCCGCCATATTGGGAAAACATTTATTCCTCTATTTGATATTAAATAATTGTGTGATAAACATGAGTGTAATTGTGTCTAAATATAGGATTTGTGGAAGATTTAACGCAGATAAGTTCAGTTTTCTATCTTAAAAATCTAGACATACTTTTGATTATTATCAAAATATGAATCAAATACGAAGCCCGTAGAAACTGCGTAACTACTTTGCACGATAATCACAATAAAATTTGCTGCGCAAGTAATTCAATAGCCCTATATCACAGTGTAGAAGTTTATCATATACCTGTGTATGAAATTCACAATAGCCTATATGTAAGTAAACAAGATGACTGTATTGTGTTAGTTATATATTCTTCACTTCGTCTATACAATACATAATAAATAGTTTAGTTGTAATAAAGTAGAATCACGTAACAGAATAGTTGTATAGTTGACAAAAGCTGAATCTTGCACTGACGCAAATGTCCTATAGCGGCTGCAAGAGGCTTACACTTTTGTTGTATAACTGTTACCTGCAGCCCTTATACAACCTCTTAAATGACTGTGTCCTATCAGGTGTGCCCATTCCGCTTGTATAGCTGTTCTAAGAGGGTTTTGCCAATGTTCTTACAGTATACAATGCTGTGTAAGGAATACTGTATAATCATTCTTGCAACTCTAATAGGAGTGATAATTGTTAGTTGGGTTATGGCTCGCTGGCCAATAGGGGCGCGAATTTAAACATTGCGCGGTGGTGTTTGTTTTGACGGGAGCTAATGAAACCTAAATATACAATAGAATAATAAAGGATTTTTCCATGATCACTTTACATTTTTGAGTAACTTACGGGTTGATGCGGGACTTCCTTTGAAAGTAGGTGGGTATTGGTACTTCAACGCAATAATATCTATCAGAAAGGCTGGGATAGGTTTACTACATGATTGATCTATTTGAGCGGAAATCTATCGCTACAAGTGTTGAAAATATTTCCATAAAGAATGAACCAGTTACAACCTGAACTATCCTAATCCAGGATAGAGTGAATGCTTCCAAAATACAGTGCGGTACCTTGACGAACAAGAAGCGTCCGGTTTCGACGGATTAACAAAGTTTAAGCCCCTCATAGCAGTCGCGGTGCCCTGGCATTTAGGATGGTGCCTGTGCGGCTGCTTTTATGTAAAAAAGTAACCTATAACAAACACGTTCCACTCTATCTTGGATTTGGATGGGTCAAGTTATAGTCGAAATCACGAAGATTACGCTTTAGTCTGTAGTAAAAACAAACTACAGCGATTTGTGAATATTTTTAATGAATTTTCAGATGTGTAAGACAGAGACAAACAGAATGTTATTGTCTAAACAAACTGTATTGCTAATTTGCATATATCCGACAAAGATAGACGATGTTTTCATGTTGCATGATCGATCATACTTGAAAGATGAATAGTTAGGTTATGTTAAAGCAGGTTAGGTTGTTTTCGAATAATCGAATCTTTCGTGATTTTGACTATACTTTGAAAAATCGATGCTTCACAGAGATATCAGGAAATACAAAGCACAGTTTATTCTAGATTATGTTCCAAATTTATAACAACACAGCTTTTGAAAATTGAATTGATAACACTGGACCTAGTTACAAATCAAGCGGAACATCTACGCTGCAATATTGGTTTTGGGTTTTGTGCGTGATTAAAATATGTGGCGAACCTACATACCCTCCGAAATATCGAATTTTTAGCGTTGGAGTTAGTCTGAGTCGCCTTCAAACTCTCCTACTTCCAAAGGAAGTCCAAATGATACCAACTGTACCAATTTCCACCATGCCATGTTTTCAGTGATGGACTCGGTGTGGTCAATTTGTGGCAGTGTTTTTTTGAATACGAGTATGTCGCTCTACAATGAGTATTTGTATGAGTAAATCGTCTAGAATAAGCTCATTTCTTAGCAACACCTTTATGCCAATATTTCGAATTTGAGGTTACGTTTTTCGCGGTGATTGACAAGAGGTCATAGGAGGCGATACTTTGGTATTTCCTTGATGACCATATCCGAAATCGGCGTCTCAAATTACCACAGAGAAGGGTAATTAATCGGTATTTATTGGACTATTACAAAAATTCAGAGTCTCATGCTATCATAGAGTATTTAGCGGTAATGTGAAAAAAGCTTGCGTATCTGAAATCCCGACCAAAACTCCTCTTTCGTGTGTGAATTCCGAATCCGTGTTTTGTTGGAGTTGAAAATCCATTAACCCTTTATCGAGATCCAGGAGAAGACTGGAGGAGTCGGATTGTAGATGAACTAGAATATACCACGAACTTTGAGCGATATAAAGCAAAATTCAAACATGGAAAGAACAAGCGAAAATGGCAACATTGGAACAGCGCATAGACAGTGTTGCCATTTACACTCACTTGAGCTGTGGTATATTCGAGAGAGTACATTCAGCGTGTGTGAATAATGTGTATTGGGTGTTTAAAGCTATATCGTTGTATATACAGGGTGACTTTGAAGTTGAGTCATTTATTGTAACAGTGAGTAGATCTGATCAAAAGAAATGTTTTTTTCCTTTACCATTTTTCTGGTAAAATTAAAGTAACAAAGTTATAGCCCTTTGGAAGTTTGAGTACCGCCCTGTCTCAATAATAATATTATGTGCTCGTGTTTGGCGACAACGGATATAATCCGCCGTATCGGTTCATCGCATCGGAAACAAAAAAGCGAAAGAATTTGGAACGATGTTTTTACAACTATTTTATTCATTTGTATACAGTCAGTGTCAGTGAATAGTAGTGTCTGTTGCGTGGCTCAAACGAAATAAAAAATGGCACATGTTTATGCGGATCGGTTTCCCAATCGAGTGCAACCAACCCCTCGTGCCTTTGTTAATGTAGTACAACGGGCTCGTGAATCAGGTGACTTAAGACCACACAGGGGACTGCATGCCGGTGCTCCAAGACCTCACGATCAAATACAGGTCCGCACTGAAATACTTGTCGGGAGGATACTTTATAGAACAAGGTAAAAAAATTTTTTTAATTTTTTTTTATTTTTACACACATATTTTGGTTTATCTTCCTTCTACAATCATTATCTGAAAATTAATGTCTCAACTTCAAAGTCACCCTGTATATATATATATATATATATATTTTTTTTTAACGGTAATCTCGAGCTTTCGGCAAACTCTGCCGGTTTTTTTCCACAAAATTGCAGTTCGATTAATTTTAATGTGTTCGGGTGTATTGATATACACACCTAACAATGGTTTCCGTCGTTATCAATAAACCCAATTTGTCCGGCCTATTGGTTTTATATTTGTAACAAGTGCTCTCATCGACGCTTTCGTTTTGAAACACCATTTGGCTGCCACCTCAGCGACGACTCCTGAAGATGGGTCCAAAGTGACGCCGAAAGCTCGAGATTACCGTTAAAAGAGCTTACTGAAGCTTAAAAATCTGTTTTGTGAATTTCCCAATTAACAATTGATTGTATTTCTTGCCCAACTGGTCGTTGGCAATGGCAATGACTGCTGCTCGCATATATATATATATATATATATATATATATATCTTGAGACGTGGTGATTGTCGTCTAGACCAGTTAGGTGAAAAATAAAGCTTCCACCTTTTGTTGAGTACTTCGACAAAATTCAAGCAATGAGGACTCTTTATACTTTATTAATCTCTAGCTTTCACAGGACTTTGCCATCTTCATCAGGAGCTGCTATTTCTTCTCAATGTTATTGCAGCTCCTGATGAAGATGGCAAAGTCCATTGAAAGCTAGAGATTAATAAAGTCCTCATTGCTTGAATTTTTTCGATATATATATCGCCTTTACTATATAATTTGATAGAATTCAATAGAGAATATAACTATCGTGATGTTTCCCACCTGATCTCCTTGTAATGGCTGCAAATAAACCAAACTGCCATGCGGCGTATCGTACATGACGCACTTCCTCAATTCCAGTTCTGTGTTGGCCAGTGTTCCGCTTAGCTTACTCTCCAGATCTTCCCTCAGCTTCAACTTGTCGCCTCTGTCGTGCAAGAGGCAGCAACTTTCTTCGTAGAGTTTCTTCACTGCTTCCACCAGCTTGGTAAATTCCTCCCTGAAAGAATAAACATCGAACAATTATCATCTTATTCGTCAAATGTCTGCCAGAGGTGAACATTACAGACTACTTGGCTTTTTGAAACTCTGCAACCAACAATGCATGTCGTGTCGTTGAGTGATTTCTCCATAGATGGACGCTTTTGATGGCGCTCACAGCTATCATAGCGGGTAAACGTGGAACTATTTGACCACTAAAAACTATCTAGTCTGCAGGATGACATTATGTCGAGCTTTTTGACGTTTTTTTAGGTTTTTACTGCCGATCGCGTTTTGTATCTTTGATGTCGTTAGTAAATCGACAGTCAACTTGCGTGCTCAAGAAATTTGGCGATGAATAACATAGTGTCTTACCTAAGTTCGGGCCCTTCCAATATCTTCCCGTTCGGATGTACCCTTTCCAAGCAGGCGTCCACCTTATTCGCCAGGCTGTACAGGTCCGTCTCCAAACTGTAGCTGATCGCCAAAATTTTTATCCACTTGGTGAGCGTTGTCGTGCATTCGATGAAGCCGATCAACAGATGGTGTTCCTCTTCGGAGAACAGGATATCCGGTTCCGATGGCGTCTTGATTGGCTTGTCCATGAAATGCACCGTCTTGTGCTCTTTGACTATGGGTGCGGACTCCTTTTCGGCGTGATGGTGTTGGAAGGGCACCGCTCCGCTGAAGGAGTGTTGTCTGGAATAAACGAACATTTTTAACCAGTTGAAAACGTTTTTTATATGTCCGAAGCCACAAGGACGACGCATTCTCCATCAGAAGATACCCAATGCGATGGCAGCGATGTCCGATTTTGCTCTAGCTAGGTGACGCTTGTATGGCTCTGGGTCAAAGCTATCAAATATTGATGGGAAAAAGAAAGGTAATGGAAAAAAGATTTTATAGCAAGGTAACGTATTTTTCCTCACCCCACGATAATTTGTGGACTTATAATGACATGACAAAACCTAAGCCCAGGCTATTCAGTGGTGACCTTGAATTTTACATGGACCATGACCTTCGAGGTCATTAGAAGGTTAACTCGATTTCTTGAATGGAACCCGCCATTTTTGACCCTTTATTGAAAAGAGCTGACAATTTTACGTTTAAATGTGTTCTTGACCATTTAACCCCACTATAATTTGTGGACTTATAATGACATGATAAAACCCAGCTAGTCAGTGGTGATCTTAGGATTTGACCTTCAAGGTTATTTGAAGGTTTACCCGATTTCTTAAATGGAACCCCTCACTTTTGATCCCGTTATTGAAAAGAGCTGACAATTTTACGTTTAAATGTGTTCTTGACCATTCAACCCCACGATAATTTGTGGACTTATAAGGACATGACAAAACCTGAGCCCCAGCTATTCAGTGGTGATCTTTGGATTTGACCTTCAAGGTTATTTGAAGGTTTACCCGATTTCTTAAATGGAACCCCTTACTTTTGATCCCGTTATTGAAAAGATCTGACAATTTTACGTTCAAATGTGTTGTTGGCCATTTTTGAATTTTGACCTTAGGAGGTCATGGTCAAGGTCAAACCCAGGTATGGCGGTATATCTTGAAATCCAGTAGTTGTTTAGGGAAACTAACGAGGTATTATTTTCATAATTTTTCCCCGGATATGCAACGATGACCTTGGATCTGACCTTAACCATGATTACTTTCAAGGCTATGTGAAAGAAAAATCGATTTTGCAGCCAGGAAACAATGCTGGAAGAATAGTGAAGTCAATCTATTTGAGTGTTTACACAGTTTTCTGAATTATCAACAAATAATCTTGTGTTTGGCCTTGACGGTCAAGAGTCCAAGGTCAAGTTGTAAAAATGGCCAAGGAGACAGTCGAATATAAAATTTTCCCATTTTTAGAGTTTGACTAGATTTTTGTAGTTAAGTGTATAGAGTCCCATTAAAAAAGAGATGACCCTCAAATGACCTTGAAAGTCATAGCCAAGGTCAGGTACAAGGTCACTATTGGATATCCAGGGAAAATCATGGAAATAATCTATATAAGATAATTGACTTGACCTTCAAGTGACCTTGAATGTAATGACCACGGTTAAATTCAAGGTCACTATTGGATAACTAGGGAAAACTCATATCAAACGCGGGAATTCGTTTTCCCTACCATTACTGCTGCGATCCTAATTGGCGACTTGGCTGACACGTTCAACATTTTTTTAAACTAATGTTTTGGGGAAAGCCTCCGGATCCCCAGACACCCTCCTGGATTGATAACTGATTCCAGGATTTACTAAATACTTTAGTTGTATGTACATTAATTATCTTCAGTGATGGTTACCTGATCTTTTCGATATTGACTCCTAAGAACGACTTTTCATGGACTGGCATGCTCTGCCTGGTCAAACTGGATCGTCCTTTGTCATGCGAAATAGATAGTCGAGGCTTCGCTCCTTGACCAGACATACTTTGCCGTTGTTTTTCTTCCCAGGATTTCAAGGAATTTTCCAAGGAACGATTTCTGCACAGCATTTGCATTCGATTTTTGTGCAGAATACGGATTATTCCTGAAACAAAAACATACAAATTACTATCAACTGAGTTTTTTTTCATGGAATGGATATCTAAAAAATAGAGTGATGTAGTTAGGCTCGCTACACAAACATTTCAAGTATCGTCAATGTAAGTGAAACATGCGACATGGACAATTTGAAAATTTTTGAGCCCCGTAAAATTTTTGACTAAAAGGGATCAAAAGAAGGACTAGACGCAAAACATACTAAAAATGGATCCCAGTCAATTTGTCTAAAAATTCAGTATGATATATTTTTTGCCTTTCCAAACAAAAGTATCTCTGGGACCGAAGTAATCCTATGATTAGTCTCTGAGAAATAGGCGCATAAAGTTTATTTTGGTTTTCAAAAAATGGTGAATGTACCGATTTTAGTTCAGACCAAACACTAGGAAAATCAGTATACTTAAACCGAGCACGGAATAATGTACAGAGAAGAGTCAGCCTTTGCCTACAAAATAATGGACAACGTTTTGAACATTTCAGTGATTTACTTCTGTTTACTCATGATTATTACTATTGCCTTCAATAACATTGTTCCATTCACCATACTTTTTATTTCATTAGAATTTTCGTTCTAACAACATTTGGCCAACGAAAAAATCTGTTTAAAAGCACATAATTCTAATATAGTGTCGAAAGTCGAAAGAAGAAACCTCGCTTTGAAAATCTGACTACGCCATCTTGCAGATCAGAAAACGTAGCAATAACAACATGTAATTTATTTCCAAATCCCATATCAAATAATGCCAGGAAAAAATAAAAATGATTGATGACTATCTGATCATTTCAAGGCCTACCTAGTAAATTTTGCATCTCTTACGGTTTCCGAGATCCCTGTGGTGGGGGTCGAATTTGAAACACCCCGTACATAGAGATGAATGTAGGTTTAACAGATTCGTATCTCACCTGGTGGTTGAATCCAAGCTTCTCCGTCCACCTGTATCGGAACACCTTCCTCTCCCAAGATGTTGATTTGGATACTTTGACATTGCGCGATCCTGTGATGCTGGAGGTTGATCAATCTTGATGCAGCCATCTGAACCGATCCAAACACCGCCACCACTTCCAAAATCTTGTCATCGAACGACGGTGCCAAGAAGATGTCGCCTTCTTTGGTCGTGCCCCAGAAGTTGATTCCACCCATAAAACTATGAACGGTAAACATGATTTTCTCTTAGATATATATATATATATATAAAGAGAATATGATCATGCGGAGAAAAGTATATAACAACAAGTAGGAAAATAATGGGCAAAATCCGCAAAAAGGAGGAAAGTGGATTCGAGCAGAAAATAGGATAGGTAACGCGAGCGATACGTATTTCTGCTGGTTGGCTTCATCAGGCCTGAAATGAATGCTTCGTTTCCTCAGGTTACACCGGTATCCGGATGTGTGGGCATGTGTATCTACTTTTGTAGTTTCGTATGTGCATTCATTTCGGGCCTGATGAAGCCAACCAGCAGAAATACGTATCGCTCGGGTTACCTATCCTATTTTCTGCTCGAATCCACTTCCCTCCTTTTTGCGGATTTTGCCCACTATTTTCCTACTTGTTGTTATACATATATATAGGGTGTCCGCAAAGTTGGGGTTTTCCTTTACACGACGTGTAGATCTTGAAAACATAAGCAATTTTTCTTAGTACCATATACACCAATGTCTTAAGGGAACCGAGATAAAGGGCTCTGCAACATCAAAAATATCTGAACACCGTCCTGTAGCCGCGACATCCCTGAGTGGTACTAGGACACTAGACACTAGCTCTACCCCCAACCTGACGATTTTCCAGCAAGAGTGCGGTTTTGTGAGTGGTTGTTGCATCAACATGACAATAATCCGGACTTTTTGAAGTCCATATTGGTGACAGACGAATCTACGTTCACGCATAATGGGGTGAATAACTTTCGCAACACTCATGTTTGGTCAGTAGAAAATCCGCACGCTGTCCGTCGGGCACATTTTCAACAAACATTTTCGTTGAATGTTTGGGCTGGCATGATGAACGGTATGCTCATTGGACCATTTATTCTCCCAAATCGATTGGACGGGATGCAATACCTATACTTTTTACGCAACATTTTGCCTTCCTTGTTTGCCTGCGTCTGCTCGGTAGCGCATCAGCTGATTTCATTTTCTGTTGGAGTGGTATGATTTCGGGCAGAGACGTACTTAGCCCGTCTCATCAACTGGAGAGTGAGTACTTTTTCCTTTATTTTTTTTTTTGGTCGCCCTCGTTTCACTACACATTACCTTTGTTATTTCAAGGGTAGTCGTTTCTGAAAAGGAAAACCCCAACTTTGCGGACACCCTGTATATATATATATATATATATGTATATATAACTTGAGACGTGGTCATTGTCGTCTAGACCAGTTAGGTAAAAAATAAAGCTACCGCCTTTTGTTGGGTACTTCGACAAAATTCAAACAAAGAGGACTCTTTATACTTTATTAATCTCTAGCTTTCAATGGACTTTGCCATCTTCATCAGGAGCTGCAATCACATTGAGAAAAAAAAATAGCAACTTTTGTGCAAAATGATTTTAAATTAACTTACAGTAGTATGTGAGATTGTTGCTAAATGTTATTGACGTTTAGGTTGAGGGAAATACCTAGCAACCTGGTGGAAGCTAGAGATTAATAAAGTATAAAGAGTCCTCTTTGCTTGAATTTTGTCGTAGAACCCAACAAAAGGCGGAAGCTTTATTTTTCACCTATATACTCGTATATATATATATAACACAATAAATGAAGCCACAAGTTCCTATAAAGGATGTTCTACTGGACGAGCACCTACCTTGGAATGTTCAGTATCACAATGCCCTGTAAACTAGGCAACGGTATCCTTTGACCATCACATTCAAGTTGCACCCGTTGTTCCAAATTTTTGTAGGTTTTCTGGAGCCACTGCTTGCTGCCGAGGACGCCGTACCACATGTAGTTCTTAGCTCTGGATCTGTAGCAAAATAAGTCAGTCAAATTGATAGAAAGAGAATCAGAACTTGTATCTTTTGAGCTTGATCAGAGGATTGCCTATAGTATATAATTTTTTGGAAGCTGTATATTTTTATCTGTTCTTCGAACGGCTTCAGGATGTTTCGTGGCTGGAGGAAGTAGGTAAGCTAAGTCGGTTCTGGACCAAATTTGCTCAAATTCAGTACCTTATTCTTATATACAGGGTGTTCATTTGAAAACTTCCCAAGAGATACAACTTTTTAACCAAAAACTACCCCCTTCCCCCTCGGCTCCCCAGGGTCATTCCCATAAATATTTTAAATGACAAGGGGTATCGAGTAATAGCTTGCTTGGAAGGTCTTTTGAAGCCCTTTATTTTGACGTTTTATTTTTAAAATCAGTCTATTCGTTTTCGAGAAAATTAGAAAAATCTTTATTTAGCTTAATTGGTTCAGAAAACAAAAACACGAAAATATCACTTTTTATTTCAATAAGTGTTCAAAAGAGTTTGCCAAATCTACAGTTCGTTTATAATCTAAAACGGAAACTACCGACATAAAAGAGGAATGTTCCCGACCCAATTAAAGAAGGCAATAATAAGACCTGTATTTAAATCTGGAGATAAACAGAAACCTTGTAATTATCGCCCAATTTCAGTATTGACAAACTTTTCAAAAATTTTCGAAAAAATTCTTAAAAAACGCTTTTCAGATTTTATTGCAAATTACAACCTCATATCTGAAAAGCAATATGGATTCCAGGAAGCAAAATCAACTCAAGATGCACTTATTCAGTTAACAACCAAAATTTACAAGTACGTTGACAACAATAAGTCGACAGCATGCCTTTTTGTAGACCTAACCAAAGCATTCGATAGTATTAACTCATGAAAAGTTATTTGAGAAACAGGACATAATGTGTGAACATCAACAGTTCACTCAGTGAAAATATGATTGTTAGACAAGGAACCGTATTAGGACCAATGTTGTTTAATTTATATAATAATGACCTTTTTAAGTTAAAAAACGATGGAGAAATTACTGGTTTCGTACACGAATCGGCAACTATTTACTCAGACAAAGATTGGACTTCTTTAAAAAACACAATTGTATTAGATTTTCAAAAGGTTACAATTTTTTTCACGTAAAGGATTTTAGCAGTCAATTTAAACAAAACATACTTTATTAAATTTTCTTGCGACAACAGATCTTCCCCAAATTTTAATCAACTCCAAATTAAAACGTTGAATAGCTGTAGGAACATACAATCGGTTGATAATCTCAAATACCTAGGGGTATTCATATACTAAGTGACATATAAATCCGAACACCCAGTTTAAATGGCTTTATTTTAATAAAATTTTGTATAAGTACTTAATGAAGCATAATAAGTAAATGATAAAAATTTCAAAATAATTGCACTGTTTTAAAACCCTTTGACCTTTAATAATGTGTGGATGCACCCTGATGTGCTACGCATTCTCCAACGCGCTTAGGCATGCTTCTGATCAGGTGGTCAATGTCCTCCTGTGGTATCTCATTCCAGGCAACCACCAACTCCTCTCGAAGTGCTTCTAGAGTCTGAGGAGGACGTTGCAAATTGAGCAATCTCCTACCCATCATATCCCACACGTGCTCAGTTGGGGATAAGTCGGGAGATCTTGGTGGCCATGGTAACAATGTGACATCATTATGTTGAAAGAAGTCTATTGTGACTCTTGCAACATGTGGTCGGGCATTATCTTGTTGGAAAGTTGGATCTACCAGGGTGTCAAGATAGGGTAAAAGATGGGGTTCTAGAACTTCGTGAATATAACGCTGCGCGTTCATGTTACCTCTGATGAAGATTAAAGGTGACCTGGAACCATAAGCTATAGCACCCCAAACCATAACTCCAACAGTGTGATGAACATGTCTTTCAACAAAAAACTGTGGATTCCTCCTTTCACCACGTCGCCTTCTAACCCTGGCACGACCATCGTGCATGCCTAAACAAAATCGAGACTCGTCACTAAAGACAATACTGTTCCATTCCTGATCCCAGAGTGACCGTTGTCTGCACCACTCAAGGCGATTATGTCGGTGTTCTCGAGTTAAAGGGAGGACCCAGTGTGGCCGGTATGAAAACAAGCCAAAACTTCTCATTCGTCGGTAAACACTTCGCATGCCAATAGGTCTTCCGTGTTCTGCAAACCATTCATTTGCAATGGACCTGGTAGTGGAGAAACGGTCCCTTAAGGCCAATAATCTTAGGCGGCGATCTTCACGGTCTGTTGTTCTACGGCGGCGTCCAGTGCCCCTTGCTCTTTGCGTACGGCCTTCTCTGACAACACCTAACCACAGTGTCTACACTTCTTTGCACTCTAACTGCAATTGCCCGAAAAGAAAGTACAGCTTCTCGAAGTCCCACTATACGGCCCCTATCAAACTCACTAAGTTGACGAAATCGTACAGGTCTCCGTACTCTAGGCATCGTAACCGATCGTAAAGGATGTCAAGAACCAGAATCCGCCAACGATGATTCTTTACTGCGGCTGAAATATTCATTTTTAGAGCGTTAGTGAATTAAAAAAAGCAGTATAAAAACCGGAATGTCCAACTGATAAGGCTGAAATTTTTTTCACTTGTTATTTACAGTAAGATAAATACATTCACCAACTTTTATTAAAATAAATCCATTTAAACTGGGTGTTCGGATTTATATGTCACTTAGTATAGATAACCATCTAAGATGGAATAAGCATATTGAAAATTTAGTAAGAAAATGGAGATACCTTATTCCGAAAGTCAAATATTTCAGTAGTTTTTTAAGCGAAAAATATCTACACATGATATATCACGGAATCTTAGCATGGGGGGGGGTCATGCATAATTATTATAAAAAGATTGAAATTACACAGAAGTGGATTTTGAAAGTTATGTTGGACAAAAAGAAACATCCCACAGAAAATCTCTACAATGAATCTCAGCTTTTCGACTGAAGGCAAATTTATTTTCATCATACAATAGTATATTTAACAAAAAATCAAAAATTGTTACTTTCTATCAGCCACAGCCATCAAATGCGATTCAAGGAAACTTCTGCACTAATTCCTATACTAAATAAAACTATCGGTCAAAGATCATTCTATTTTCTATGCTCAAAATTTTATAATGCTTTTCATGCAAAGTTTAAACATATAAAATGTAAAAAACTTTTAAAAAATGAATTAAAATCATGGATCCCAAATCAATCAAGGCTACAAATTCATAAGTTTGTTGACACTAAAAACCTATATGTTATTTGATTATATAATGATGCAAATGTTTACATTTGACTAGAATACTTAAAGAAAATTTGTTGTATTAATATAATTCAACTTCGGTTAAAACCTAAGTACAAGTAGTAGTAGTAGAAAGATTTATTTAGCACATTTGGCTACATAAACAGAATAATTGTAAACAACTTAGAACTAGTAAATTCAAGCCATATGGTGTATGATGTAAATGCTGGGCAATCTATAATTGTAGATTTAACAAGTGATTTCTCAATTTTACTTTAAATTTTGTCAAAGTTTTCTGGTCTTTTATCTCCGAATATAATTTATTATATTCAATCAACCCTTGATGGAATACAGATTTGTAGCATATGTTATACTTTTTGGTCATTAAATGGAAGTCATCTTTATTTCTGGTATTATGTAAATGATGGTCGTCATTTGATGATGTTAAATTAGTTAGACTTGATGGAAATATATTATTTTTTACTTTATAAATGAATATCATTACAAGATATTTGATAAAATTTTTTACATTGAGCCATTTTAATTTGCTAAGCATTTGCCTAATCGGAATATATTTATCTTTATTTAGTATTATTCTCATGCACTTATTTTGTAAAATTTGCAGTCTTTCAAAAATGGAATTATTTGCTAAATATAGAATAGTCGAACAGTACAAGAAATTTGGAAGAATGATGGTATTATAGATAATTTTTCTGCTATATGAACTCAGACATCCAGAAACTCTCGATAAATATCCCACATTACTACTAATCTTATTTATAACTTTTTCATAATGAATATCAAAAATTAATCGAGAGTCAACAAAAACCGCCAGGCATTTAAAATTTTCTACGAATTCAATATCTTCACCATCAATATTCAGTTGAACATTTGTACATTGTTTGTTTCCGATTAACAAGGCTTTCGTTTTACTTGCATTTAATTTTAGTCTGTTAGATGCTAACCATTTTGAGACAAGCTTCAAGTCTTCATTTATATAAGAGATACCAGACTGAATATTTTTAGTATTTATATAAATCATAGTGTCATCGGCGAAAATCTGAATTTTGCATTTTTTGACTATGGCAGGTAAATCATTTATGTATAAAATAAAAAGAAGTGGTCCCAGGATACTGCCCTGTGGAACACCCAACGTATTTTCAATTTTTGATGAAGTAGTGTCATTAACTTTTGTAACTTGCATCCTTTTAGACAAATAATTCCTAAACCAATCTAAAACACTTCCTGTTATACCATATGCCTTCAATTTACCTAACAAAATATCTCTATCAATCGTTTCAAATGCCCTCTTCAAATCCAAAAATACTGCTATGACAACTTCTTCTGAGTCTATGGCTCTTCTCCAATTCTCAGTTACCAACTGGAAAGCTGTTTCTGTGGAATATTTTTTTTTAAAGCCTGCTTGCGCCTCCACTAAAATTTTGTTTTCTTCTATAAACTGCATTAATTGGTCATGCACTAAGGACTCTAATAATTTTTCAATGTCTGGTAACACATTTACTGGTCTCTGTACACTTTTTTGGGTATATTATGTTTATTGGACATTGCCGTTATTATTTATACGAAAAAATTGTAATTGGACCAATAAACATTATTATTATGATTATTTATGAAGTATAAACAATTTTTATTTATAGAAGACTTACCTGCACTTTTCTGGATGTTCCTCTCTTTTATGATGGAAATCCAAAGAGATTTTTGCGTCAATCCCGATGCCAAAGTAGTTATTCATAACGCATCTCTCGTAAAAGCCCTCCGATAACGTTTCATCGGGATCGATCAAGGGACTCACAGCCGCACATAGGGTGTCTGCGTTTGCTAGTAGACATTTGCTGATGAAGCCACCACCAGTACTCACGTCTGGAAAAAATACCACTATTGAAGCCATTATCACACAAGGAGCCGTATTCATAAAACAAAGGATATCCTTGTACTTGCAAATTTTGAAGGAAATCTTCCAGATGGTATTTATAATAATTTGAAGAATTTGAACAAAGCTTCTGGTCCGGACTTGATTCCTGCCATTGTACTGAAGAGATGTGCAGCGGAGCTTGCTCCAGTTCTTTCGCATCTCTTCCAGATATCTTATGAATCCGGCACCTTCCCAGAAAACTGGAAATTTGCTCATGTACAGCCCATCCCAAAAAAAGGATCTAAAACCGACCCCTACAACTACAGGCCTATAGCTCTGCTTTCTGTTATAAGTAAAGTGATGGAGAGGTGCATAAATCGCGAGCTTCTGGACTACCTCGAACGTCACAGCTTGATTAGCGACAGGCAGTACGGTTTCCGGCACCAACGATCCACAGGGGACCTCCTAGCTTACGTCACGCAACTGTGGAGTAAACTCATCCAGTCTCATGGTGAGGCTCATGTCGTTGCTCTTGACATCACGAAAGCGTTCGATCAGCTGTGGCACGCTGCCTTCTTAAGCAAACTTCCATCCTACGGCCTCCCAGAAAAGCTTTGCAGATGGGTGGCTGACTTTATCTCTGGCCGCAAGATATCCGTCGTAATTGACGGATTCTCCTCTTCATCCCACAACGTCAACGCGGGTGTTCCCCAGGGATCGGTCTTGGCTCCAACACTGTTTCTCTTACATATCAACGACCTCCTTTCCTGCACGATCAACCCAATCCACAGCTTCGCTGATGACAGCACTCTACATGCAGGAATTCAGAGTGACAAGCCGATCTCTGCCGCTGAGCTGGAAAAAAGAAGACTAGCGACGACTTCTTCTCTGACAAGAGACCTGGAGGCTATCACTGCTTGGGGACGCAACAATCTTGTACAGTTCAATGCTTCCAAAACACAGTACTGTACTTTGACGAACAAAAAGCGTCCTAGCGCTCATACAGTTTCGATGGACGGTCGAGTTCTACCAAAGAGCCATTCATTTCGGCTGGTCGGAGTCCAGATCACCGAGGACCTAATCTGGCACGAACACATCTCTTCAATAGCTGCAGCTGCTGGGAAAAAGCTAGGCTATTTGTTTAGGGCTAAGAAGTACTTTTCTCCGCATGACCTTCTCACTCTATACAAGGCCCAGATAAGGCCTAGCCTCGAGTATTGCTCACACATTTGGGGTGCTGCCGCCCCGACTACATTGTCCATGCTCGATGCTGTCCAGAGGAGGGCGGTCCGACTGATCGTTGACTCTTCTCTAACAGACAGTCTCGGGACTCTTTCGCACCGGCGGGCCGTCGGCGATCTAGCTCTCTTCTATCGCTACACCAACGGGCTTTGCTCCTCAGAGCTCTCTTCCATGATGCCGCCGCGCGATGTGCCTGCCAGATAGACCCGAATGACTTCGGCGTCCAATCCTAACCGTGTCAAACTTCGTACCTCCAGAACTGGCCGATACGACCGTTCCTTTGTCCCGAGGGTGTCTAGATTGTGGAACAATCTACGGGAGGAAGCTTTTCCCAGTTCTACTAACCTTAGGCAGTTCAAAAATCGTATCAACAACATTTCTTTGGGATCATCATAGCAGCCGCGGTGTTCCGGCATTTAGGCTTCTGCCTGCGCGGCTGTTTCGATATAAAAAAAAAAAAAATTGTGCATTTTGGTTTAATAAAATCTATTTGTAAGGGCTTGTTTAAGTGATATTTGGTTGATTAGTCGCAGTATTGTGTTAGTTATGGCTAATGTGGTGCATTTACGTACAAGAAAATACTACAAACCAAGACGTACACCTCGTGAGTCAGATTTCAGGACGTTGTTTAGATTTGAGGAGGAAAATGTGGTGTGGTTGGCAAATTACTTTCTTGGCGGAACCTGTGCGGAAAATGAAAATATTTCTGCGGTATTGTGCGGACCCTGGATTTCAGAGCGGAATAGCTGAGGAATTGGGATGTTCGCAGCCCACAGTGTCCAGAATATTTCATGACGTGCTAGAGCGAATTGTACAACAAGCCGGAGAATTTATCAGGTTCCCAAATACAGAAAATCAAGCCCAATTTGGAGACGAATATGTAAATCGAAAAGTTTTTGCCAGTATTAATGTACAGGTTACATGTGACCAGAATTCTGTTATAACTAGTATAGATGCAATTTGGCCTGGATCAGTCCATGATGGGCGTATATGGAAAAATTCGGCAGTGTGTGAAGTCATGAAAAAGACAAGAAACACTGTTTTTCTAGGGGACAGTGGGTATGGTATAATGTCATGTCTTGTGACTCCTTACATCGACCCCCACGAGGAATATCAGAGAGTCTTTAACAGGCTGCTTAGATCAGAGCGAGTTGTGATTGAGCATACATTTGGGCAAGTAAAGCGGCGATTTCCTATCCTGAAGTATGGATGCGGAGTAAAACTGACCAGTATTCCAAAAGCTATAATTGCGTGTGCTGTGTTGCACAATATAGCTAAGCAATTAAGAGATGAAGATTTTCAAGAAAATGACGAAGAGGACTTGCCATTTATTGAGAATGCAAATGTAGATGCTATTCGTGCACAAGGACAAAGGCGGCGAGAGGAATTAGCTCGTCTTATTACCAATAACAATATAGGTGTATAATTAGGATTAAAACTTTCATGTAATGCTATTTATATGTCGTTTACTTCAAACGTACAAAGATGTATTTACTTAAACTGAAAATAAACTTACACGTTTGAGCTGGAAAAAAACGTTTAATTATTTTTTTTTTTGTTATAAATGATACATATTACATATACGTCTATTTACAAGTTTCGGTAAATATTATCTCCAACAACAACATACTCTTGCGGGGCTTTTTCGTTTGATGTCTCGTTTAAATTTTTTAGCTTGGCAGAGTAATATTGTTGTTGGAGACAAGCAACTTTCAATTGTTCAACTAAAACTAATCATTGAAGCTGGGTTGTCGTTAACTGCCTCGTCTCGTCATACTCTTGTTTGCCCGAAGTAAAGGTAGGCTTCGGAGGAATTTTTTTTGCAGCAACCTCTTACACCGATGTGTAGGATCGCCTTTTGTTAGCTATTACTTGAGGCATAATCATCTGATGAGCGTCGTTTTCCACCATAATGTCATCCTTTGAAGTAGGTAAAGAAGGTTGACTTGCCACGCCAATTGCAAGAGCCCCTAATAAAAATATACATGCATGCAAGTACCTACAAGGTAATAGTAAAGACCTGAATCTATTTCTCATCTGGTACCCGACTTGTACAGGATTTATGTCCGCATCCGTAGCCTGTTTTATTTTTGTCAGTTTTATTTTTCAATCGCGTTTCCATATTGTTCACTTTTTTCATAAAAGCTTTAATATCCATCTCCTTGCCAAATAAAGTAACGCATCCCTTAACGATATCAGTTAATGCAGCAGTTTTCTCCTTTTTCATCGCTGGAACTTGAGATTTCTCGAGAATCTCCGGAGATGCTTGGACTTTTTCAGATGAAAATGAAGGAAATCATGAGAATGACAAACTTCCTCTCCGCCAACTAGGACAACAAATAAGAAGAAACTTGAGTATTATAATAAATAGTTTTACTGATTAAAGTGTATTTATAAGTTATAATAAGTTTTATTTTCGTGAACATCATAAGTTACAGGTGGCTTCTGACTCTGCATCATTTCTAATTTCGTTTTAGAATACTCTTGTTGTAAAATATTTGTTTGGTACTGCTGTAATAGCACTAGACGTTGCAGTTCTTTTGTAGTTAACCCTTTGGTTTCCTCAGTTTCGTATTTCTTCGTTGCTCATTTTCTTTTTGGTGGCAACGTCTTCTGAATTGCTGGCGTTGTAATACTAACTGTTTGCTCACTGCGCTCGGTATATAGTTCACATCCTTCTTCTTGAACCCTACCAACCTGAACGGCACCTCTAATTTTCCCAATTGTAGGATTACGGCCACCTTCAGTAGTAGAGCTAAGAGAGTTCCACAGCGGAAGTGAGATAAAACAGCCGATGGACGGTTGCAGGTTCGCGTTATCAGCGCGACGACGTTCCCATGCGGATGTGTGTCCGATAAGGTGAGGTGTAGTGTATACAGGGAGAGTCGAGAAGGTTGTATACAGGGTGAGTCAAAAGGTTGGGAGCGTTAAAAAAAAGATGGCGGTGTATGGACGACGGTTGCAGGTTCGCATGCGGATGTGTGGCCGACGACGATAAGGTGAGGTGTAGTGTATACAGGGAGAGTCAAGAAGGTTGTATACAGGGTGAGTCAAAAGGTTGGTAGCGTTAAAAAAAAAAGATGGCGGTGTGTGTGTGTATGTTGATTGGCGGGAACCGCTAGATCCACCGCGTGCTCTGATTGGCGGATCAGACGGTGGGAAATTTGAACGAGGTTGATGGTATATGTTGATTGGCGGGCCCCGCTAGATGGCGCAGTGATTCACACACACACACACACCGCCATCTTTTTTTTTTAACGCTACCAACCTTTTGACTCACCCTGTATACAACCTTCTTGACTCTCCCTGTATACACTACACCTCACCTTATCGTCGTCGGCCACACATCCGCATGCGAACCTGCAACCGTCGTCCATACACCGCCATCTTTTTTTTTTAACGCTCCCAACCTTTTGACTCACCCTGTATACAACCTTCTTGACTCTCCCTGTATACACTACACCTCACCTTATCGGACACACATCCGCATGGGAACGTCGTCGCGCTGATAATGCGAACCTGCAACCGTCCATCGGCTGTTTTATCTCACTTCCGCTGTGGAACTCTCTTTCCCAATCTAACAATTTAATTGCTTTATTACCAGTTTTTTTTTAGATCGTTTTATTCTTCAATCTTGATTTCATGTTGCTGATTTTTTTTAATAAGCCTTTAGTATCTAATGGTTTACCGAATGTTGATTCGTATTTTTTCAACATCTTCTTCAAGGCATCGTCCTTTCTCATTTTTATTTTTGAACTTGTGACTTTTGCAAAATAATGGGAGCAATGGCAATTTCATCTGCGATGAACTGCAGGTCGTTGCCATTAAATTCTATAGTTTCCTCATCACTTGAGGATGACATGCTTATTAATTTGATAAAAAAACTGTATCCAGTAAAAGTACGAAACGGTCTGTGTAAGCTCTGGAGTACCACTGTCAGTGATGCTGAGTGAACGAAATCCCACGTCAACTACAAGCTGGAACAAGTCAGGATATGTCACTCAAGATACAAATACCAGTCAACCCTTCACTTTTCTCTTTGAGGATATCCTCGCGAGTATAAGGTAATCATTATGAATATCAAAACAAGGATATGCTTATACTTCTACCTTTTTCTCCGAAGCAAGACCCTATACTTGTACCTTATGCTTCCGAGGATATGCTTCTCTTATATGAATACGGCTCAAGGAATAAAAACATATCAAATTAAGGACATAACTTTATGTCGGATCTAACCACTTACCGTTTGTCATTAACTTTAAACATCTACAAACGCTTGAGTTAGCTTGTTCTGGGAAAGCAAGCATGATCAATGTCAGCCTCATCCTTTGCTTTACCATAAAAATATTAGAAAAACGTATGGAATGATAAGGTGGAAACTTCTCAATCTGATATAGACATGGCACTCCAATCAGCAAAAAACTATAAATTTTGTATGGGATTCCCGTTCTCAAAAAAAACATCCAGCCCTCCAAAACCACAAGTAAACCACAGGAAAAGCTTCGGATGTTACGTGTTTGTTACTTTTCAACCTCAAGTTGCTTGTAAACACGTTTTCCATCAAGATGGATAAACTTAATGTCATTAAATTATTTCTGTTGGATGGGTTGGCCCCGAGTTAACAAAGATTTACGGAAACTCCGGTCTTTGGATTTCAACTATCACAAAATAGAAGGCCAAAAACAGCAACCACCCCTGAAACCATCAAAGAGGTTCAAGATATCGTGTTGGAAAATAGTCGTATGAAGCTGAGTGAGATTGCTGAAGCCTTGGGGATATCAAAAGAAAGGGTATGAGTCATCTTGTACCAGGAATTGACATCAAAAATCTCTGTATTTGCTGGATGCCGATAAAAATCTGATGCGTAACTAATTTTCGCAGCAGTGTTTGAACGCGCGTGGAAGGGCTTTGACTTTGTTTTTTAGTTGAAGCAAGAGATATATCATTTGACTTACTTGGCCATGTAGGTACGTGTACCAGAGGATTAATAATGGGCAGTTTTCTATCTTTATCATCTTTCTTGTCGCTCTTCTTTTCGGTGGCGTCGCTGTAGAATTTCGTGGTAGCCGCAGCTGCTGCTAGAGCAGCTGTCTCAGCAGGATTTAACATACTGCAGCAGGAAATTCGTCTGGTGGCTGCGGGAGAACGTGTCAGGAAGTGTTCGTTTCCTGAAAAAAAAGGTGCCTAATTTTTTCCATTTTTACGCTATTTTTTCATATATTCACTAAATCAAAGCAGATTCAAGCCGAATAAGTGCTTTATAATATACTAAGTGACATATAAATCCGAACACCCAGTTTAAATGGTTTTATTTTAATAAAAGTTGGTGAATGTATTTATCTGACTGTAAATAACAAGTGAAAAAATTTTCAGCCTTATCAGTTGGACATTCCGGTTTTTATACTGCTTTTTTTTAATTCACTAACGCTCTAAAAATGAATATTTCAGCCGCAGTAAAGAATCAACGTTGGCGGATTTTGGTTCTTGACATCCTTTACGATCGGTTACGATGCCTAGAGTACGGAGACCTGTACGATTTCGTCAACTTAGTGAGTTTGATAGGGGCCGTATAGTGGGACTTCGGGAAGCTGGACTTTCTTTTCGGGCAATTGCAGTTAGAGTGCAAAGAAGTGTAGACACTGTGGTTAGGTGTTGTCAGGCATGGCTTCGAGAAGGCCGTACGCAAAGAGCAAGGGGCACTGGACGCCGCCGTAGAACAACAGACCGTGAAGATCGCCGCCTAAGATTATTGGCCTTAAGGGACCGTTTCTCCACTACCAGGTCCATTGCAAATGAATGGTTTGCAGAACACCGAAGACCTATTGGCATGCGAAGTGTTTACCGACGAGTGAGAAGTTTTGGCTTGTTTTCATACCGGCCACACTGGGTCCTCTGTTTAACTCGAGAACACCGACGTAATCGCCTTGAGTGGTGCAGACAACGGTCACTCTCGGATCAGGAATGGAATAGTATTGTCTTTAGTGACGAGTCTCGATTTTGTTTAGGCATGCACGATGGTCGTGCCAGGGTTAGAAGGCGACGTGGTGAAAGGAGGAATCCACAGTTTTTTGTTGAAAGATATGTTCATCACACTGTTGGAGTTATGGTTTGGGGTGCTATAGCTTATGGTTCCAGGTCACCTTTAATCTTCATCAGAGGTAACATGAACGCGCAGCGTTATATCCACGAAGTTCTAGAACCCCATCTTTTACCCTATCTTGACACCCTGGCAGATCCAACTTTCCAACAAGATAATGCCCGACCACATGTTGCAAGAGTCACAATAGACTTCTTTCAACATAATTGTTTCCAAGGCCACCAATATCTCCCGACTTATCCCCAATTGAGCACGTGTGGGATATGATGGGTAGGAGATTGCTCAATTTGCAACGTCCTCCTTAGACTCTAGAAGCACTTCGAGAGGAGTTGGTGGTTGCCTGGAATGAGATACCACAGGAGGACATTGACCACATGATCAGAAGCATGCCTAGGCGCGTTGGAGAATGCGTAGCACATCAGGGTGCATCCACACATTATTAAAGGTCAAAGGGCTTTAAAGCAGTGCAATCATTTTGAAATTTTTATCATTTACTTATTATGCTTCATTAAGTACTTATACAAAATTTTATTAAAATAAAACCATTTAAACTGGGTGTTCGGATTTATATGTCACTTAGTATAATATAGACATATTTATCGTTTTGCGCAGAGCAATGGGCGCCGCACGAATTTTTCTCAGGGGGGTCCGATCATAGACAAGAGACAATTTTTTGTGGAAGTGTACCAGCCCCAAAATGTTTTGACGAGCAGAAGTGTAGCTATCTCAAAATTTTTTGAAAAGCGGGGATATCTAATTTTTCATGTGCGTCCAATCCAAAAAATTTGCCAAATTGTACATAATATCATGCTAAATTTGCAAATGTTAAGGTCCAACCAAATTTTCACGGGCAGGTGCATTCATGCAAAGAGCAGACCGTAGTATAACCTCATACAGCGTGTCCACTATACAGGGTGTAAACGTTATGATAGTCATTATTAAAATGGGTGATAGAGGATGTTAAAAAAAGCAAAAAGATTTATATAACAAAACGGCATTTTTTTTAGGGAATAGTTACTTTAAAGTAAAATAAAATCTGACTACGCCGCAATGCCAGATGCAAATTATGACGGAACGCAGTGTAAATAAACATGGAGTTTGTTATTTTTGGCTCTTAGGTGTTATTTCATTATTTGGTAATAATTTAATAAAGAGGGCTCAAAAGATTAAGATGAAAAAATGGACGTATTTTATTTCATTTCACACATATTCAAGATACAAACCAGTCAGTTACATATCGGCCACCCTGTATAACAGGTACGTTAACGTTTCTCAAATAACATTGATGTAGACCCTTAGTGATAATTTGTTTGAAGGGACTAGAAGAAAAAGAAATGCTCAATGAAACATTCGAGTCTGGACATTTAGGCGTAAATGCCACTTTGAATCAAAGTCAAGAAATCATGTTTCTCACCTATTCCTAGTAGGTTAGAGCTAGAGCTATGATTGCTGGCAGCAGCCTTGTCTGTCTTCGATGTGAGCAGCTCCTGATCGTTGTCCGCATCATCCACGCTTTCTATCTCGATCCGAATCTGCTCCACACGTTCTGCCCTTATCTGCTCCGTTAGTACCGGAGATGGCGGTTCCACTATGACGCTCACCTGGGGAAACTTATACTAAAAAGAGAACGATAAATTAGACATTTCGAATATCGTCAACCTGAAATTTTTGTTTAAATATACTAAGTGACATCCGAACACCCAGTTTAAATGGTTTTATTTTAATAAAATTTTGTATAAGTACTTAATGAAGCATAATAAGTAAATGATAAAAATTTCAAAATGATTGCACTGCTTTAAAGCCCGTTCACCTTTAATAATGTCTGGATGCACCCTGATGTGCTACGCATTCTCCAACGCGCCTAGGCGTGCTTCTGATCAGGTGGTCAATGTCCTCCTGTGGTATCTCATTCCAGGCAACCACCAACTCCTCTCGAAGTGCTTCTAGAGTCTGAGGAGGACGTTGCAAATTGAGCAATCTCCTACCCATCATATCCCACACGTGCTCAATTGGGGATCAGTCGGGAGATCTTGGTGGCCATGGTAACAATGTGACATCATTATGTTGAAAGAAGTCTATTGTGACTCTTGCAACATGTGGTCGGGCATTATCTTGTTGGAAAGTTGGATCTGCCAGGGTGTCAAGATAGGGTAAAAGATGGGGTTCTAGAACTTCGTGGATATAACGCTGCGCGTTCATGTTACCTGTGATGAAGATTAAAGGTGACCTGGAACCATTAGCTATAGCACCCCAAACCATAACTCCAACAGTGTGATGAACGTGTCTTTCAACAAAAAACTGTGGATTCCTCCTTTCACCACGTCGCCTTCTAACCCTGGCACGACCATCGTGCATGCCTAAACAAAATCGAGACTCGTCACTAAAGACAATACTGTTCCATTCCTGATCCCAGAGTGACCGTTGTCTGCACCACTCAAGGTGTTCTCGAGTTAAAGGGAGGACCCAGTGTGGCCGGTATGAAAACAAGCCAAAACTTCTCATTCGTCGGTAAACACTTCGCATGCCAATAGGTCTTCCGTGTTCTGCAAACCATTCATTTTCAATGGACCTGGTAGTGGAGAAACGGTCCCTTAAGGCCAATAATCTTAGGCGGCGATCTTCACGGTCTGTTGTTCTACGGCGGCGTCCAGTGCCCCTTGCTCTTTGCGTACGGCCTTCTCGAAGCCATGCCTGACAACACCTAACCACAGTGTCTACACTTCTTTGCACTCTAACTGCAATTGCCCGAAAAGAAAGTCCAGCTTCCCGAAGTCCCACTATACGGCCCCAATCAAACTCACTAAGTTGACGAAATCGTACAGGTCTCCGTACTCTAGGCATCGTAACCGATCGTAAAGGATGTCAAGAACCAAAATCCGCCAACGTTGATTCTTTACTGCGTCTGAAATATTCATTTTTAGAGCGTTAGTGAATTTAAAAAAAGCAGTATAAAAACCGGAATGTCCAACTGATAAGGCTGAAAATTTTTTCACTTGTTATTTACAGTAAGATCAATACATTCACCAACTTTTATTAAAATAAAACCATTTAAACTGGGTGTTCGGATTTATATGTCACTTAGTATATCTTATAGAGCAATTTTGAATTCAATAATATATAGTATCTGGAGAAGGAGTATAGGTTATATTATGTATAAAGTGTGACGCCTTAAGCAGAGTTCACTTTTACGTATATATGGTCACTTTTTTCTAGTAACTTACACCAAAGTCTTAAGATTACCGAGATGCTGGCTCTGCAAAATAAATGAAACCTAAACAAAACCTAGTCCGGTCCTGCTCGTCGATCAGATGAAACGTGACCACGTACGATGCGCATCAGTACTCAATCCAGGCGCTGGTTGCATTTTAAACAAAACCTTTACACATCGTTTCTAAACAACAAAACAGAAATGGCTCACTCATCCAGCAATATCGGAGATGTCCATATTATTTCAACTTGAAATGAGTATCTTCGAAATGCTGTCGAGGCTTCGCGCGTGCATTCAGATCGTTTTCCAAGTTTCTTCGTGATTTATTTTTTTGCTTGGGGCGAAATGAATTGTTTAGTGTATAAAACTGAGGTGAACACGATTAACGCGAATTTAGCAATCTACTGAATTCATTTGGGAAAGGTAGTCAGTTCTAAAACATACGATGCTTGGCTACGTCGAGCACCTACATGTGTCTTTGAATCTATCGCAAACAACTTTGAACGATACTTACAAGTAACAGAGCTGTACTTTTCGATGAACGGTCAGTACTTTTTCATTTAATTTTTTTCTCACTTTTTTGCTGTGTTATTATTGTTTCTGAAAAGTCCCAACTTTCAGGACGCCCTAGATTTTTTGCTAATTCATTTAGGAATAGATGTGCTATAGGTGTAAAGTCCCCTTTTTCTGCCGACCTCGTATTACGCCACGCACCATCTACTAGTAACTGATTATTGAAAAAACTAGCTCCATGTTGACCTTGCACCGATATAGACAACACTCATCACAACACACACGGCTCGGAATAAACTTCCGAGGTGAAGATTCGAACCCGCGAGCCTCCGATCAACTCACCTGATCGTCCTTCTCTTTCTCTTCATCCTCCTTCTCGCCGTGCTCTTCCTTTTCCTCCCTACTCATCGCCTCCTTTTCCGATAGCTTCACAGTTTCTTTCTTCTTGCTGTGCTTCCTCTTGAAGGACTTCCTGGCGATGTCGTTGCCTGGAAAAGTAGGCCGAACTGCTATGCGCGAGAGGATACATTCTCGGTTAGCTTACAAGCGCCGATACGAACATCATGATTGTTCTCTACAGACCACGTATCACTGCGACACGTATCATTAAAAATAAATAAAATCCTGAAATCTGGCAACACCGTCGTGCTTGTCGGCTCCCGTACCACCGATCCCAACAAGAAGCGCCTATTGGCATGGACAAACAACATGAAGAAACGAAATATTTAATGTAGCCAAGCTTCGTCAATATTCATCAAACATTCAATAACAAATCCTGAAAGCATTTCAGGAGGTATTATTATTATATTATTAAACATTGTCTTTAAATTGTTAATCAAGCCAGCGTTCAATGTATATTCTGCGTGAGATACTACTGGTCTTGCTGGTTCCTAGGGATGTTTGAGTGTCTACATTTATCGTGGTCTGCGAGCTACGGTGCTTGGTGAAAAAACAATTAATTTTTTTCACCACCACCTTATTGTAACTATTCTACATCTACAGCATCTACTCACTTCGCAATTCTGGTCTACGAAAACTACGCTCTACACAATAAAAATGTTTAAAAATTCGGAGCAGTACTCAGAGACAAGCGTTGAAGATGGAAGGTTCGACTCTGAATATGACTCGCAATTTTTGATAACTTTCATTTTCATCAAAATGTAAGACTTGCAGCGCGCTTGCCTCTAATTTTTCGAGCTAATAATGTAATGCTCACCTTCGACAAACTGAGCCAGACTACAATACTTCGGTTGTTCCATCTCTAATCGGTTATCCAGCAGAGTAGTCATGAACACGCGGTTTTCAAAACCGAACTGTGTGTCATCGTCTGCTTTGGTTTCCGATTTTTGATCTGATTTCGCACGGGAGCTGCGACGTTTTCTTTCCAGAGAATCTCTCTTCAGGCTCATCTTACGTTCTGATGGAAGAAGAAATGGATGAAATAAACAACGTCTCAGTTAGCAACAAGTTTGTAGTTGCTCAACATCTGTATTCTCGACCTCCAAATGACGCGCTTGGTACATTATCAAACATATGATTTTATTCCTTAGAGTGCGATATCTCCTACCTAGTTAGCCTGAGTTGAATTTTTCAGTCATTACGTAGAAATTCATATAAATGAGTGAATGTTTTTGAAGTATTGGTGAATGTGCATACTATAGGATGATTATCTCATTCTCCCTATTTTGTGTTCGACGTAAAAGTCTTATCTTTTAGAACGAGCACAGCATTTTCTTTAAAGTTGTAGAAGAGTAAATTATAGTTTTAACATCTTAAGTTTTTATGAAAGAAGAAATTGATAGAATAAACAATGTTTCAGTTAGTAACAAGTTTGTAGTTGCTAGACATCTCTGTTCCCGACGATTTACAAAGATCTCCAAATGACGCGCTATGTATATTGTAAGGTATATGATTTTATTCCTCATAGTACGATATCTCTTAGCTATTTAGAGCGAGTTGATTTTTCAGTCATGACATCGACATTCATATGAATGAGTGAATTTTTAAAGTATTGGTGAATGTGCATAGGATGAATGTCTCATTCACCTTATTTTGTGTTCCACGTAGAAGTCTTATCTTTTGTAACGAGCACAGCATTTTCTTTAAAGTTGTAAAAAATTAAACTATAGTTTTAGCATCTTAAGTTTTTATGAAAGAACAAATTGATGAAATAAACAACATTTCAGTTAGTAACAAATTTGAAGTTGCCAAACTTCTGTGTTTCTGACGATTTACAAATATCTCCAAATGACGCGCTAGATATATTATCAGGTATATGATTTTATTTCTTATAGTAGGATATCTGTTAGCTATTTAGAGCGAGTTGATTTTTCGGTCACGTCAAAATTCATATGAACGAGTGATTTTTTAAAGTATTGGTGAATGTGCATACTATAGGATGATTATATCATTCAGGATATTTTTTGCATTTGACGTAAAAGTCTTATCTTTTAGAACGAGCAGAGCATTTTCTTTAAAGTTGTAAAAAAATAAATTATAGTTTTAACATCTTAAGTTTTTATGAAGGAAAAAATTGATGAAATAAACAACGTTTCAGTTAGTAACAAATTTGAAGTTGCCAAACTTCTGTGTTTCTGACGATTTACAAAGAGCTCCAAATGACGCGCCAGGTATATTATCAGGTATATGATTTTATTTCTTATAGTAGGAGATCCCTTAGCTATTTAGAGCGAGTTGATTTTTCAGTCACGTCAAAATTCATATGAACGAGTGATTTTTTAGAGTATTGGTGAATGTGCATACTATAGGATGAATATTTCATTCACCCTATTTTGTATTCGATGTAAAAGTCTTATCTTTTAGAACGAGCACAGCGTTTTCTTTAAAGTTGTAAAAAAATTAAACTATAGTTTTAACATCTTAAGTTATTATGAAAGAAGAAATGGATGAAATAAACAGCGTTTCACCTAGTAACAAATTTGAAGTTGCTAAACGTTCCCGACGACTTACAAAGGTCTCCAAATGACGCGCTAGGTATATTGTCAGCCATTGGATTTTATTTCTTATAGTACGATATCTCTTAGCTATTTGGACTGAGTTGAATTTTTCAGTCATAACGTAGAAATCCATGTAAACGAGTGAATGTTTTAAAAGTATTGGTGAATGTGCATACTATAAGATGAATATTTTATTAACCATATTTTGTGTTGGACGTAAAAGTCTTATCTTTTAGAACGAGCACAGCATTTTCTTTAAAGTTGTAGAAAAGTAAATTATAGTTTTAACATCTTGCATTTTTATGAAAGGAGAAATTGATGAAATAAACAACGTTTCAGTTAGTAACAAATTTGAAGTTGTTAAACCTCTGCGTGCCCGACGATTTAGAAAGATCTCCAAATGACGCGCTACGTATATTGTCAGGCATATGATTTTATTTCTTATAGTATGATATTTCTTAGCTATTTAGAGTCAGTTTATTTTTTTAATGGTGAATGTGCACACTATAGGATGAATATCTCATTCACCATATTTTGTATTCGATGTAAAAGTATCTTTTAGAACGAGCAGAACATTTTCCTTAAAGTTGTAAAAAAATAAATTATAGTTCTAACATCTGAAGTTTTTATGAAAGAAGAAATTGATGAAATAAACAACGTTTCAGTTAGTAACAAATTTGAAGTTGTTAAATTTCTGTTCCCGACGATTTACAAAGATCTCCAAATGGCGCGCTAGGTATATTTTCAGGCATATGATTTTACTTATAGTACGATATATCTTAGCTATTTAGAGCGAGTTGATTTTTCAGTCACCTCAAAATTCATATGAACGAGTGATTTTTTAAAGTATTGGTGAATATGTGCATACTATAGGATTGTTATCTCATTCACCATATTTTGTGTTCGACGTAAAGTCTTATCTCTTAGATCGAGCACAGAATTTTCTTTTAAGTTGTAGATAAGTGCATTATAATAATGCAGCAAACTTAATGTTTATGGAAATTGTCAAGAGTGTCGTTTGATGCGAAATTCGTTTTCTATAAACGTAATAACGAAGATACCCCAAAATAAGTAAAGTAGTGGCATGTCTTCTTCCTCGAGAGAGATATTTGTGGGCATTTGACAACTCTACCGTCACTCGCAGGTGTCAAGATGGTCCAGGAAAATGGCGTCTCCACAATAACGGTTTTTTCATTATTTACTTACCTATATCGCTGGGGAAAAGCGTAGTATCGTCTGTGTAAGAATTATCGACGCTGTCCAACCCAAGAACCTCTCCCAGCATCGAACTGATGTCATCCATTAAAGACTCTCCATGGATGACTTCCGAGGTGGCACAAGTGTCACTTTCTGGAGAGTCTATGTGACAAATGTGCCCGTTCACATCTTCACCTGCGAAGGAAAGTATCTGAATCAAATATTGCATAGGGATCAACCTTGATGCTACGGAATTTACATTTACATTTTTTTATCGATTTGCGCCTAGGTACTTGTTAGGATCAATTTTTAAAGGTAATTTTGTTGTTACTTTCTTCTCTAGAAGTGTTATATCTTTTCTTACCATCGCTTCCTTTCCGTGGTACAAATGATTTCGTAAATGTAGCTGCCGCGACTATAGCTGTAGTAGTAGCTGATTGCTGAAGATCCAGAATATCAGAAGCGATACTCAGCTCCTCGTTCGATATGGTGGACATAAGGCTGCTGAATTCTTTTTCTTCGTCTGCTAAGGTTTTGTCGGCATCGCTGTCTTTGCCACTGGAACGAATTTCCTCTTAATATTCTCGAAAACGGAAACTAAAGGTTATGTAAAAGATAGTCGTCGACTACTAAAAAATATATGCCTAACTATTTGTATCTGGAGTTTTGCAGACATCTCCTGAAATTTGCCAGGTCAGTGAATATCCAAAAATGCTTTCCATCTATAGTTGGTATTCATATGTACCCAGTTTAAATGATTTTATTTTAATAAAATTTTGTATAAGTACTTAATGAAGCATAATAAGTAAATGATAAAAATTTCAAAATGATTGCACTGCTTTAAAGCCGTTTGACCTTTAATAATGTGTGGATGCACCCTGATGTGCTACGCATTCTCCAACGCGCCTAGGCATGCTTCTGATCAGGTGGTCAATGTCCTCCTGTGGTATCTCATTCCAGGCAACCACCAACTCCTCTCGAAGTGCTTCTAAAGTCTGAGGAGGACGTTGCAAATTGAGCAATCTCCTACCCATCATATCCCACACGTGCTCAATTGGGGATAAGCCGGGAGATCTTGGTGGCCATGGTAACAATGTGACATCATTATGTTGAAAGAAGTCTATTGTGACTCTTGCAACATGTGGTCGGGCATTATCTTGTTGGAAAGTTGGATCTGCCAGGGTGTCAAGATAGGGTAAAAGATGGGGTTCTAGAACTTCGTGGATATAACGCTGCGCGTTCATGTTACCTCTGATGAAGATTAAAGGTGACCTGGAACCATAAGCTATAGCACCCCAAACCATAACTCCAACAGTGTGATGAACATGTCTTTCAACAAAAAACTGTGGATTCCTCCTTTCACCACGTCGCCTTCTAACCCTGGCACGACCATCGTGCATGCCTAAACAAAATCGAGACTCGTCGCTAAAGACAATACTGTTCCATTCCTGATCCCAGAGTGACCGTTGTCTGCACCACTCAAGGCGATTACGTCGGTGTTCTCGAGTTAAAGGGAGGACCCAGTGTGGCCGGTATGAAAACAAGCCAAAACTTCTCATTCGTCGGTAAACACATCGCATGCCAATAGGTCTTCCGTGATCTGCAAACCATTCATTTGCAATGGACCTGGTAGTGGAGAAACGGTCCCTTAAGGCCAATAATCTTAGGCGGCGATCTTCACGGTCTGTTGTTCTACGGCGGCGTCCAGTGCCCCTTGCTCTTTGCGTACAGCCTTCTCGAATCCATGCCTGACAACACCTAACCACAGTGTCTACACTTCTTTCCACTCTAACTGCAATTGCCCGAAAAGAAAGTCCAGCTTCCCGAAGTCCCACTATACGGCCCCTATCAAACTCACTAAGTTGACGAAATCGTACAGGTCTCCGTACTCTAGGCATCGTAACCGATCGTAAAGGATGTCAAGAACCAAAATCCGCCAACGTTGATTCTTTACTGCGGCTAAAATATTCATTTTTAGAGCGTTAGTGAATTAAAAAAAAGCAGTATAAAAACCGGAATGTCCAACTGATAAGGCTGAACATTTTTTCACTTGTTATTTACAGTAAGATAAATACATTCACCAACTTTTATTAAAATAAAACCATTTAAACTGGGTGTTCGGATTTATATGTCACTTAGTATAGTAATATCCATAACGTGCTGAGTAAAAATATTTATTATTATTTTACTTTTAGCAAAAATGCAACACCAAATTCTGAAGCCACAACATCGTACATCGCATACGTAGTTATAGTATAAGACGAATAAACACTTCACTCATAATTCGAATGTGACATTGTGAGTTTTCGTGGTGATTTCATTCGAATTTTCTTTATGATTATCGGCAGCGACTTTTTTTAATAATGGTGAGGTTAGCCCCTTTGCATACTTTTGGTGCAACATGATGTGCTATTTTTCCTCTTCACACCTCTTGTTACTTCGATACTTCTGATACTATAAATCAAATCAAGCCCCTGCAGTATCAGCAAGATACATTTTTAAGGAACCTCAGTGACTCCAGCTTGGGCTATTAGATTAGTGCTTGTCAATTGACGTTTTTTCATTTCCCCCCTGAATGAAAAACAAGTCGAAGATTGTAAAATACGTGATTCTGCTTTACTGTATCAAATAAAACAAATCAAACTAACAATCTATCGCTTGATTTATATGATGTGCTGAACAAGTAACCCCTCTTGAAAAATTGCCAGCTGTGCCCTTACCTGTCTCGTCGTTGTTCTTGTTTCGCTTGCATTGGTTGTTCGTCTAACTCCTGTATAGCATTTTCGCTGCCACGTAGTTCGTTGGGTTTTCGTTCCGTTTCGATTTGGATCAAAGTTGAAGCGGTTTCCAGCAAAACCTTTTCCGTTATGGCATCTCCACTAGAAAAAAAAATCAATGTTTTATTATACGAGAGAAAAAAATCTTGCCACAGGTGAGAATCGAACTCACGACCTTCGGGTTCTAGGCATATGCTTTAACGACCAAGCCTCGATGACCCGTAGGTCAGGAGTTCGAATCTCATCGGTGCCGAGTTTTTTTTTGTTGGTCATTTTTGTCCAGCATTTTATGGAAGGTGCCAAGAGTACGTATAAGACATTGTGGATCAAAATAAGTCAGATTTGTCATTAAAACAACATTTACGTTTGACTTACCTTTGCTGTTGAGCTTGGATCTGGCTCGCTCTTCTGCTATCAGCAAAATCGGCTGGTACAGGTAATGTTAGAACCTCCGACTCATCGAAACTAATTCCTGCAGACTCTCTTCTTCCGATTGGAGATATGTTGATCATTCTGGCCGTAGAAATGCTGCAGGTAGGAGAAGGACAGCTACTTCCATCGGTACTACCTCCTGATTCTATCGTGGCCATTACCTGTACGTCAACATTAGTTTTCTACCTCAGTTGTGTATATTGCATATCTCATCGGGCCACATATAATGAGAAATAATAAATATCACATTCTTCAGGCCCTAATGCAGGGCTTTAAAAAAAGAGGGCCGGATAGACGGGTATAGCATCAGTAGAACTATACAGAGTCGCTACCAATAATGATCACCAACATCCATTGAGGATATGGTACTATAAGCAGAAGAAGAAGAGGAAGAAGAGGAGGAAGAGGGAGAAGAGGAAGAAGAGGAAGAAGAGGAAGAAGAGGAAGAAGAAGAAGAAGAGGAAGAAGCGGAAGAAGAGGAAGAAGAGGAAGAAGAGGAAGAAGAGGAAGAAGAGGAAGAAGAGGAAGAAGAGGAAGAAGAGGAAGAAGAGGAAGAAGAGGAAGAAGAGGAAGAAGAGGAAGAAGAGGAAGAAGAGGAAGAAGAGGAAGAAGAGGAAGAAGAGGAAGAAGAGGAAGAAGAGGAAGAAGAGGAAGAAGAGGAAGAAGAGGAAGAAGAGGAAGAAGAGGAAGAAGAGGAAGCAGAGGAAGAAGGGAAAGAAGAGAGGAAGAAGAGGAGAGAGGAAGAGGCGGAGGAGGAGGAAGAGGAGGAGAAGAGGGGAGAAGAGGAAGAAGAGGAAGAAGAGGAAGAAGGGGAAGGAGAGGAAGGGAGAGGAAGGAGAGGAAGGAGAGGAAGAAGAGAAAGAAGAGGAAGAAGAGAGAGAAGAGGAAGAAGAGGAAGAAGAGGAAGAAGAGGAAGAAGAGGAGGAGAGAGGAGGAAGAGGAACAAGAAGAAGAGGAGGACGAAGAGGAATAAGAGGAAGGAGAGGAAGCAGACGAAGAGGAAGAAGAGGGAGATAAGTTGCGATCGGAGGAATACAAGTAAGGTATTTACTTTGAGTGAATCCATTCTATTGGCGTCATCGTCAGTCTGCTTATCGAGTTCGCTGCTAAGGATATTTGAACAGTAGGTATTGCTGAAGTTGATTGTCTAGTTTGCTCGTCGACCACTTGCTCAGTGTGCTCGACTAGGCTTCGTATGGCCCGCTTTAGGCTGTTCGCCCTGTTTATCAATGCATCTTTTTCACGTTCCATAAACCTAGAAATTAGGAACAACGTTGATAACTAACAATCAAAATAATAATGCAGTGTATCAACTCGGAATTCACAGGAAGGTCGTTTTTACTCACCTAGATGTCCTTCTAAGTTTCCTAAAATTGAAATTGCTCAGTTCCTTCTCGACCTTCTCCGTCTTGGTCTTGTCGAAGGACATTTCGCTGTCGGTGTCTTCCGCCCCCGGATGATGTGACTTACCGCTGTGGCTTTCGTCGTCTGCCATGCTTTGAATGTTGGACATCTCCACTTGTTCGCTGGTCAGAGTTTTCAGCAAGAGTTCCAATTTCTGCTGCAGTACGTCGCATTTTTTCGCCAGCAGGTCATCTCCTGAGAAAAAAGTCGATGTTTTGAGTGACTCTTAAAGAAAGTTACGCTCAATTCGGTCGCCTTTTAGTACAAAGAAAAAGGAACGAAATATCTGAGGCCTGGGCCCTCGTTGTACATCTTTTCTCAAACCTTTGCATCTTCAAAATGTATAGAATTTCACAGTGTGGAGTGTGAAAATCCACTGAATTAGCCAAAACCTCTTACAGTCTGACGTTCTTGGAATTTGACTGTGCAAACTACTCTGGCTGGCATAAATGTGAATTGGGAACAGGAGCAATGTTTAAAACGAACGTGCAAAGTTCCACTTAACGTCGTCAACAATTCTCACCTGCTGCTTAACCGAATCCCAGCAAATAGAAAAAAATGTTGGCCACATCTCCTGCTTCTATCGTCATAATCTTTGTTCAGCATTATTCGTCTCACTATTAGTTGACCCTTAATCTATCTGGTGCCTGACAAAATTATACTTTCACACCTTACCTTGCGTCAGCGAGCTCTCCACCAACTGCGCGGCGAAATCCTTGACAGTCTCGCACAGTCTTTTCGCCGCGTTGATAATGACCGACGTTTCATCACTTTGTAAGATGTTCTGGATGTGACCAACCAAGGAATCTTCGTATTGGGCGATTTGGTGGTGCAGCTGGCCGTCCGTGATGCCTGGTGTCAGGGAGAGTTTTGGCATTGCTATGTGGCGTTCGAAAGCCATTATGCTCCATCTACAACAAGAAATACGCAAAGAATAAGACGGTCAACCATCCCAACTAGCAAAGTAGTGGTATAAGCTTTTAGTAAAAGAACCGTTCAGCCATAAAAGCTCTCTATTGTTGTTGCCTGAAGACCAAAATGCTGGATTAATGTTGTGTGGACTGCAAATTTGCTTTTTGCAACATATTTGCTCTAAAATGAGCCGTTTGAAATATTTAATAGCATAGTTATACAACACCTTATAGGGCAAATTTTTAACTGTTGCATAAACGTTTATACAACTATTTTATACGGCTTATTTGCACGTTATTCAAAATGGTTGTGTTGTGGCATCCATGGTAACGTTTATAAAACAAACCGGAGCCTTGTTGTTTTGCTATGCAATTTACTACTTCAGCCAACAAATTGCTCCCAACGGAAGCACTTATACAACTGTTGTTTAGTAACTGTTAAAGGCTGTACATAAGTATGCTAACCAACATAGTATACAACTTCAGCATAACCTAACTTTCTGTTGTCATATTTTTGTTAAAATGCCATAACCAATGTTTTAAGACAAACAACGCATGCATATTGGTTCAAAAGGTTTTATCAACTGTTCAAACAGAAGATATAGATCTGGTACAAATCATTCGACTCTGTCGGTATTTCATTTCAGACCTTTGTCAAATTGTTGTATAACACCTGCAGGCAATACCAAAATATTCTAATAACCTAAAGACAACATGGACGATGCCATCATTGTACACAACCACCCGCCATATTGGGCAAAGATTTATTCCTCTATTTAATATTAAATAATTATGTTTCAGTTCGAAAGTACAGATATAAAGTGATAAACATTATTGTATATGTGTCTAGATATAGGATTTGTGGAAGATTTAACGCAGATAAGTTCAGTTTTCCATCTTAAAAATCTAGACATACTTTTGATCATTATCAAAATATGAATCAAATGCGAAGCCCGTAGAAATTGCGTAACTACTTTGCACGATAATCACAATAAAATTTGCTGCGCAAGTAATTCAATAACCCTATATCACAGTGTAGAAGTTATCATATACCTGTGTATGAAATTCACAATGGCCGATATGTAAGTAAACAAGATGACTGTAATATGTTAGTTATATATTCTTCACTTCGTCTATACAATACATAAGAAATAGTTTGGTTGCGATAAAGTAGAATCACGTAACATAACAGTTGCATAGTTGACAAAAACTGAATCTTGCACTGACGCAAATGTCCTATAGCGGCAGCAAGAGGCTTACACTTTTGTTTTATAACTGTTACCTGCAGCCCTTATACAACCTCTTAAATGACTGAAGTGTCCTATTAGGTGTGCCCATTCCGCTTGTATAGCTGTTCTAAGAGGGTTTTTCCAATACAATACAATATGAGTGATAATTGTTAGTTGGGATGGACATGTCTTTCGTGTCAGTTGGCAAGTCATCAGCATGTCTAGGCTTGGTTTCAGGTAAGAAAACGAATTATCCTTTATCCAAGATATAAAGCCCATCAAAGTAAGACAGCAAAAAGTGTACTGTATAAGACCGTCATCAGATTAGGTAATACAGTACAGATTCCGTAACCTTTTTATCACCAAAAATAATTTCAAGGCCCTGCCATTGATTAGAACTGGTATTCATTTGAATATGAGGATTTATTGTCCCACAATCGTTTCCTGACTATTCAGAATGTCGAATATCTTTGACTCACCTATCCAGCATTTTGGTGCTAGCCTTCTCGTATTTCTCCAAGAGCTGAGGCAGATGCGTATCGTCATCGCATGAGGAACCCCAACCTAAAACCCGCGCTAAATCGTTCCCCGTACCCAAAGGAAGCACTGCAACTTGGCACTGTTTCTAAAAAAGTAAAGAAGCAAATAAATGTCATTACTTATAGCTATTACGCAAGAACTCAAAGTTTGATGTGTTTGGAACTTTATTACATTTGGAATATTGTAGCTAGTAAACCGACTTTAAGTTGCATGTGGCAACCATGTATTGTAAGAAGAATGTAATATAGAAGTGTGGATAGTAGTTGCAGGTGTGTTAGTCTCCTAGTTTTTTCCTGATTTTATAAGTAAAAAGTAAAGTAAGTGGTGACTACAGCCCATAAAAGCATCAGGGACGCCATCCGGCATCAATTGCAGATCCGAGGTAAACCCTTTACAACATGATGCTTTCAGTACATTGATTTTCGCTAAAATTGAAGCATGGATTACTGATATTGCGGTACAATATATCGCGAGATATTCGCGTTATGTAGATATTAAAAAGTAGTGAGATAAATTAGAGGTGTTTAGTTATAGATAATTATGTGGGAAGGAAAATATACGGAAATACTTACGTGCATATCGAGCTTATCGATTTCCGAAAGCACCCACCCTACGGATCCATCGCCACTACAAACAAGAATCCGGAACGGATCAAAGTGCCGGAATAACCTCAGACCTAGCCGAGGTCCAGTCGAGATGAGGTCAAATACCTGGGCAGGGTTGAGGAGTTGTTTGAACTTACGGAGAAATTTCACACCTTGATTATCACCTGAAACAAAAAAATTCTATGGATCTTCAGGCTTTGCTGAGACAGAAATTCAAATACTACATTCCTTATGGTGGCTAGATACGAAATTCAATTATAGTACAAAAGTATGGGGTGCTTAATATTAAATGTTGGAATTATTTTTTCAGTTGGAGTGAGAATGAAAATATATTGTAATAAAGGGTTGTCCAATAGGGACGCAGGAAAGTAAACGTCACTTTGACATAGACGCCATCTTTGTTTTCTGTCACCGACATGTCATTTTGTTAGTTGAATGTTTACCATTGATCGCTATGGAGTCGTATTCGATTGAGGACCGCATTAAAGTTATTCAAGAGCACTACAAAAATGGTGCAAAAATAAAAAACACGTTTCGCGCACTTCGTGAACATTTCGGTCGCAACAACCGCCCAAACGAAACAACCATCGGTCGTCTGGTGCGTAAATTCGAGGCAACAGGTTCTGTGGCAAATCTGCCAGGCTCTGGCCGGCCAAGGAGCGTTCGCACACCGGAAAATATTGCTGTTGTGAAGGAGAGTGTGAGAGACGATCCGAAACAATCGACAACGCGTCGATCCCAAGAATTGGGCATTTCGAGAACCAGTTTGCTCCGCATTCTCCACAAGGATTTGAATGTACACGCCTACAAGATCCAATTGACGCAAGAGCTGCGTCGGGCCGACCATTTTTCGCGCAGAACGTTCCCAGATTGGCTCCTTGAACACCGCCAAATTGATGCCAATTTTTCATCAAAAAACATGTTCAGCGACGAAGCGCATTTCACTTTGAATGGGACGGTAAACAAGCAAAACTGCCGCATCTGGGCGAACGAAAATCCCCGTGAGTATCAAGAGCAGCCGATGCATCCTCAAAAAGTGACTGTGTGGTGTGCATTGTGGTCAAAAGGCATCATCGGACCTTACTTTTTCGAAAATGCGGCCGGGGACGCCGTTACCGTCAATTCTGAGCGATATCACGTGACGATAGAGGACTATTTTTTGCCGCAACTTGAAGGAATGGATATGGACGATGTTTATTTCCAACAAGACGGTGCGACATGCCACACAACCAACGTCAATATCCATCGATTGCAGTCCTTCTTCGGTGATCGCGTGATTTCGCGCAGAGGAAATGTGCCATGGCCACCAAGATTGTGCGATTTGACTCCCTTGGACTTATGGGGATATTTGAAAAGCAAAGTCTACGTCAACAAACCAGCCACCTTCCAAGAACTCAAAAACAACATCATTGCCGAGATAAATGCCATAGAACCGAGCATGTTGCAAAATGTCATTGAACATTTCGACCATCGCGTGGACGTCTGTAAATCCAGTCGTGGTGAACATTTGAGCGATATTATTTTTCATACATAAATGGTATAAATGAACCTTCAAAATAAAGTACCCAACTTGATTTGAATATCAATCTTTCTTGTTTTAATATGCGTTTACTTTCCTGCGTTCGTTTTGGACAACCCCATATTTTCTTACTATAATTGATTTAGTTGTTAATATCTCAATTTTTCATACTGATCTTATTCCAAATTAAATAGTCATACTTGATTGTTGGACTTTACAGTAACACAAGCTCTCCTAGAATAGAAAATTATTTTCTACTTTTTTTAAGATATATATTTTAGTTGCAAATCGATAACAAAAGTAGTTGTAATCAAGACATTTTATTTTTGGTATATTTATATTTGACAAAACATCTAAACTTCATTCCTGTTTATGTAGCATTTTTTAAAATTATTTCGAGTATTACATTTTTTTTAAATTTCGATTTTTGTTCAAAAATTCGAATTTTTCAATAATCTTCCAAATTTTCAAATCGATTTTTTCAAAATTCAAATTTTTCAAAAATTTTCGAATTTGAATTTTTTTCACAGATTTTTGTATTGTCATTGACGCCTGGCTGCTGTATAAATGTACAAGTTAATCAGACTTCTTGAAATTGGTGAAAATCGAATAAATTAAATAAACAAGAAGGTTAGGTGCGGAACATAACGATCAACCCTCGTACATTGAACTAAACCTGATTAACTGTCACTATCACAACGGCTCTGATGCGTAAAACTGATAGATGGTTGTGACAAACTCCAATAATACTTTTTCTCTTATTCTCTTTCTCGCTAATTGAAATCGAACGATTGGTTTACACTAGAACTACAAACTGCTCTCGTATGTCCTTATAATTGAAAACGGTTCAGGTTTTGTTTGTTTTAGATCGTCGGTTACGTTTCTCTCAAACTTCGAAACTTTAGTGCAATAAACTAACACACGAGTCGGAAGCACCAGTAATAGTAACTTAATATCCAGCCTTAATTGCATCACGATCACGTAGGATCCAGGGAAAGGAGTAATTTGACCAAGCAACAGGTTTATATTGTAACGTCCCCGGAAATGGGATCGACGCATAGGCAACCAGAGTTACGCGGCTTCGAGAAGCGATCGCGCATACGTGCGAGAGCGATCGGGAAGGTTCGGTTGCGATTAGGTTACTTGACGTATATCAAATTTCATAGAATAGAATATTTCTTACGGTATTTGGCTTATGAAAGGACGACATTCTGATCACCTTCGTTAAATACAAAAAAGTGCAGTGTGGGTTTTAAAAAGAAATACAATGTATGTATTAAAATTGTGTTCCCTATTTATAAGTGGATTTTTTAATACGTTCAATAGACTTTCACACACCAGGTGAACCGCTGAGACAGTTAGTGGTAGGTCCGTTTTTTTAATTGTTTGCATTTTACGAGTACATTATCAAATAATGGAATAATACCTAAGTGCCAAAAATAACAAACTTCATCTTTATTTACACTGCGTTTCGTCGTAATTTGCGTCGGGCATTGCGGCGTTGTCAGATTTCATTTTACTTTAAAGTCGCTTTTCTCTAAACAAATGCCATTTTGACCCCCATGTTATATGAAACTTTTTGCTTCTTGTAACCCCCTACAATTACCCACCGACTATCATAACGCTTACACCCTGTATATTTAGTTTTAATACGAAAGAGTGGAAACGCTGTCGGTCATGATGTGACGCCATTGTAAACAAAGAAATGTCATCCGTATGCCACTCTTGGAATAACGTTGTCTTCTTTAATTATACTAAGTGACATATAAATCCGAACACCCAGTTTAAATGGTTTTATTTTAATAAAATTTTGTATAAGTACTTAATGAAGCATAATAAGTAAATGATAAAGATTTCAAAATGATTGCACCGCTTTAAAGCCCTTTGACCTTTAATAATGTGTGGATGCACCCTGATGTGCTACACATTCTCCAACGCGCCTAGGCATGCTTCTGATCAGGTGGTCAATGTCCTCCTGTGGTATCTCATTCCAGGCAACCACCAACTCCTCTCGAAGTGCTTCTAGAGTCTGAGGAGGACGTTGCAAATTGTGCAATCTCCTACCCATCATATCCCACACGTGCTCAATTGGGGATAAGTCGGGAGATCTTGATGGTCATGGTAACAATGTGACATCATTATGTTGAAAGAAGTCTATTGTGACTCTTGCAACATGTGGTCGGGCATTATCTTGTTGGAAAGTTGGATCTGCCAGGGTGTCAAGATAGGGTAAAAGATGGGGTTCTAGAACTTCGTGGATATAATGCTGCGCGTTCATGTTACCTCTGATGAAGATTAAAGGTGACCTGGAACCATAAGCTATAGCACCCCAAACTATAACTCCAACAGTGTGATGAACATGTCTTTCAACAAAAAACTGTGGTTTCCTCCTTTCACCACGTCGCCTTTTAACCCTGGCACGACCATCGTGCATGCCTAAGCAAAATCGAGACTCGTCACTAAAGACAATACTGTTCCATTCCTGATCCCAGCGGGAGTGACCGTTGTCTGCACCACTCAAGGCGATTACGTCGGTGTTCTCGAGTTAAAGGGAGGTCCCAGTGTGGCCGGTATGAAAACAAGCCAAAACTTCTCATTCGTCGGTAAACACTTCGCATGCCAATAGGTCTTCCATGTTCTGCAAACCATTCATTTGCAATGGACCTGGTAGTGGAGAAACGGTCCCTTAAGGCCAATAATCTTAGGCGGCGATCTTCACGGTCTGTTGTTCTACGGCGGCGTCCAGTGCCCCTTGCTCTTTGCGTACGGCCTTCTCGAAGCCATGCCCGACAACACCTAACCACAGTGTCTACACTTCTTTGCACTCTAACTGCAATTGCCCGAAAAGAAAGTCCAGCTTCCCGAAGTCCCACTATACGGCCCCTCTCAAACTCACTAAGTTGACGAAATCGTACAGGTCTCCGTACTCTAGGCATCGTAACCGATCGTAAAGGATGTCAAGAACCAAAATCCGCCAACGTTGATTTTTTACTGCGGCTGAAATATTCATTTTTAGAGCATTAGTGAATTAAAAAAAAGCAGTATAAAAACCGGAATGTCCAACTCATAAGGCTGAAAATTTTTTCACTTGTTATATACATTAAGATAAATACATTCACCAACTTTTATTAAAATAAAACCATTTAAACTGGGTGTTCGGATTTATATGTCACTTAGTATATATCTAAATAACTCGTGATCAACGTAAAAACTTGTCGTTTTCTCGTTTTATTGAAAAAATAACCATGGACGTTTGAGTCGTAAAAAAAAGGAAGCACAAATTTGGTGATTGAAGATAGGTATAAACTTTATTATACAAACGTTACTAAAAACTTCTTGGAAAATCTAAGAATTAAAAAAATGAGGGTTAACGTTTAAAAATCTGAAGTGTAACGCATTATCCCATTTTTGGATCGCCCTGTATTGTGCGGCTATAAATGAAAAGACGTCCCCCTAGAAATCAATATTGACATATCCGACCTTTTCGTCGGGCCACTCTGTATATTTATTCGTTAACTATCATTGAATGCACAGTCTTATTCGTTTATTGCAGATGGTATTTAAAGCGTCCATTATACATTTTCCTCAAGCTGAGTAACGTTATATGCTGTAATTAACAAACTGAATCTGCGAGCATAAGCAATATTAATATAATTCAATACCCGCTTTCCTAGCTTGATGATATCGCGGCTTAATTAAACCAGAACACAAAGTGCAATGCGCTATAGCGCAGCTACAGTGGCAGGTCGATACACAAAACGAGAAATAGGGAAAAGATATACGTTTTTTCTTTTTTGCTTCCAGTCGAACTGGGGTGCATGATATGAATTACCCACTCAACGTAAAGTGGATTGAACGATTTTTTACTGTGCTTTGCTAGAATTTTTGCATCTCTTGTAGTTATATAGGATGTTCCAGAAGATGTATGCAATCCTTTGCATGCAAGTAAAGGTCAAAAATTTGATATAAGGAGCTTCAGTGGCGCTGTCCGATGGCTTTATGATCTTACTCGACATATTGTTTATTTCGTCAGCTATTTCTGTCTCCTGGCCACCAAGCAATGTTGGAAAATGTATAACAATCATGAATAAATGGAATACGTCGTGTACTTTCCAAATTGACGGATTTAAAAGAAAATCGGCAGCAAACCAATCACCAAGGTCAGACTTGCATAATGAGCTATTCTTTTCAAAGTTATTTTTACATACATTAGACTCATCAGAGTGGTGTCTCTTGAGGATATAACAAAAAATCCACTAAAATTTTCCTAACAATTTGATCGCAAATATTTAAGTGTCTAGCGATCCTCCTCGTACTTGTTTCAGGATGTTCGACTTAGTGCAGCACTGCTTCCTCAATTTCAGGTCTTCTCACACTTAGAGGTCTACCTTCAGATGTTCCTTTTCGGATAGAACCAGTTTCAACAAGACGACGATGAATCACTGGACAACAAATTTTAGTTTTTTAATTGTATCTTGTGGGAAAAGTGCACTTCTTTGTTAATTTTGGGGCGCTGAATCCAAAAATGACAATGAAATAAAAAAATTAGTTGCGGTTTAGAAAAAAAACCTTTATTTTTAAGGATATATTAAAAAAAGTAACAAGATTCATATACTTATAAGAATCACTATATGCGCTGTCTTTTTGCTGTTCTTTTACGGATCGTTTCTGGAGCATCTCTACCGAGAGTCCAACAGTAGTCTGCAAGCATGGAAGGATTCCACTTTCCCTGGTACCTTTTTTCCATTGTTGAAATATCCTGATAAAAACGTTCGCTGTGCTCATCACTTACGGCTCCGCAATTGCCAGGAAATGTATCTTAAGAGACATATTACAGCCCATCTTTTGATACGATGACAGCATATTTTTAACAAGGGTTTTATAGTTGTCAGCTTTTCTATTTCCCAAGAAATTAGTGACCACCAGACGGAAATCATTCCAAGCAGTTTTTTCAATACCTGTTAAAGTGTTTTCAAACTGTGTATCTTTCAAAATATTTCGAATCTGTGGCCCAACAAAAATACCTTCTTTAACCTTTGCCTCACTTAGTCTTGGAAATTTCTGACGCAGGTATTGAAAAGCGTACCCATCTCTATCTAATGCCTTGACAAAGTTTTTCATTAGGTCCAACTTGATATGCAGTGGTGGTAATAAAATTTTTTCGAATCTACTAATGGCATATGCTGTACATTTTTTTGACCTGGCTCTAGGAATTGACGAACAGGCCAGTTTTGTCTGGTGTAATGAAGTGCCTTTGCCCGACTGTCCCATTCACACAAAAAAACAGCAAAACTTTGTGTAGCCTAGCTGCAGCCCAAGTAAAAGTGCAACAACTTTCAAATCGCCACAAATATGCCATTGGTGCTCATCGTATTTTATGCATGTCAATAGGTACTTCATATTGTCATATGATTCTTTCATGTGGACTGCATACCCTACAGGAAGAGATGGTAAAATATTTCCAATATGCAATAACACTGCCTTTAAACTCAATGTTGAACTGTCTATAAACAATCTCCATTCTTCTGGGTTATAGTTTATATTTAAAGCCGCCAGTAAGCCGTTAATGTTACTGCAGAAAACCAAGTTATTCTCCATATTGAAAAATGGTTTTAAGTCTTTGTGGCGTTTACGAAAATCACATACCGAAACATCGTTTTCTAACAAGTTCCAATGCTGCAGTCTTGATCCAAGTAACTCTGCCTTACATTTTGTAAGTTCTAAATCTCTTACAAGATCATTTAATTCTGACTGTGTTATTTTGTGCGGTTGGTGGCATGACGTGCTCGGTATAAAATCAGGATCTCTTGACGTTGATATATATACGCATATCTTCTTCCTGACGAATCACTCGATCGCCATGATCTGATTCGTTTTCTGATTCGCAAGAGTAGGATTCTGGGGGTTTTGGAATAGGATTTTCGTCACTGTGAGGCACAGGTCTCATCGCAGATGGTACGTTTGGGTAGTTAATAACCGATTTTTTTTTCTTGGACATACCTGTGGCTTGTCCAACACAAGGTACCATGCAAAAGTAACAATCATTAATATGAGTTGTAGGCTCTCTCCAAACCATTGGGACAGCAAAGCGCATAGACCGTTTTTTGCCATTATTGACAAGATTGCAAACACTAAATCATGAAAAAGATGTCACAGCGAACAGATTTGAATAACAGAGATTTGTCAGATGTCAAAAGCCAATGACATATTCCAGAGCTACTAGATTTTTATTGCTAAATTGCATTCTTCAATTATTGCATTAAGTTTCTCGGACAATAGAACGGTTTTTATTTCTTTACTCAAAACGGCGCATCGAAGGAAGACAATTCGAGAGAAATCTTTCGTTTTAAATTGAACGGGGAATTCAAAAAAGATTTTTAGACCATCGTTTATAAAGCAAACTAATGGCGCGACATAATTCATAAATAAGTAGTCAGACATAAATAGTGATGTACTAGTTAAAGCCACTTGTGTTGTGTTTTAAATAAATTGATTTATTTTTGTGTAATCGGGTGTTTTAATTCACACCCAAAAGAGCCCAGAAAAACGCTACAGTACTTTACCTGATTTAGAATTGACGAAAACTAACAATGGAGATGAGGCTTGAGGCCTGACTGCTTCCCAGGCTTCGTCCTGAATGGAATGAAGGGCAGTGGGTGGGACTACACTAACTCTGGCGGGCCCTAGGGGGCATTTAGGGGTCATGGCAGGCCTACAGGCGGTGTGAACAGTTGAGCGACACCAAAGACAGCGCCAGTCCTGTAACCTGAAATAAAAAAAGACGTTAATTATTATTATTATTATCATTAAGAAACGTTCAATATATTTATTTTAGGGCAAACTAAATTAAAAATTTGATGGAAGCTTCATTTATTTTTATTTTCGTACGTTGTGTTTGTCCTCGACCGACTTTGCTGAAAACCGATATTGGATAATGCGTAATATTATTGTAGTGGAAATGAAATTTTTGTTTACCTTCAATTTAATATTTTTCGATAAATTCGGCTTTGATAAACGTTTTGCACACTGTACGAGAGGGAATAAGCGAAAACGTGTCTGCACAGGAAAATTTAAAAATAAGGTGGATGTGAGACAACAAACTGGGCTTTCTAAAAAATGGTGAATGGACATGTAAAATAGAAAGCCTTTCCTGTGTTTAACTGTTTTTGCTTATAAACTTTGGGTTACCTTAATACATGCAAATCGTTGCATTTTTTCTTGAAAGTAGCTTAACTTACCTAAGTACTGAACCACAATTTTTATCACAAACAGCGCATTTGGCAGAAACTGGAAGATTTCCTTCGATCCACTGATGAGGCATCATGATGTTCTGAAAAAAATACACAAACTGAGTTTCAAGCAGACCATATCCGCTTGTTTGCTTCCAATGTACGTCTCCAGTACTGATGATTGCCAATAAACGCGAAACACCGTTGTACATGGTTGGTCGTGGTTATAGAGATGACAAGAAGACGTCCACTGAGTTTATCTTACAACCAAATTGAGCAGTCAGTTTTACTTATTTTAGAACCTGAGGACTGTTCCTCGTCAAGTAGTTAGACTATGTATATTGTGTTCAGGTGGAGCCGCGACTGAGGCCTGGACTATGTTTCAGGGGATATTTTTCAGACGCACAGTGGTATTTTTACTGCTGTGATGTGCATACTATTAAGGTCGTCAAGAAAACGACGTCCATTCAAAATATTGATAGTACGGTATGTTTTAGTGCCAAAAATATTTAACATGTTAACTGTATCTGTAAAGGGCTGAATAGAATAATTGATCGGTAAATGTTGATATATATTAAATTGCAGTACTCCTAGTCGGTGTTGCATGTTTTATGTCATTTAGTATACAGGGTGTTTCAGATTATTGTTGCACAAATTTAAGATTCGATATCACTTTTAAAATTAATGCATAAAGTCTATATAAACATGGGTCGAAAAATGCGTGGCTTTCGAAATACAGGGTGTTTAAATTTACTTTTCAAAATAGTTTTTTTTTAAATATTTCGAACAATATTTGATGTATAACAGTGAAAATTGGTATACAAGGGTTTTTTGGTACGACAAAACGAACCATGGGCATAGTTTTACTGTAGCCGCTAGAGGGCGCTCTCGGCTGTACCTGTAGTGTATTAAAATGACCGAAAAATTTTTTTAGTGAAATTTTTTGCTTTTGAATAAAAAACTGATTCTCCGCACTTTTCTGCATAAAAAAGCTCTCCTGTGAGTTTTCGTTATAGTTAGCCGTTTTTGAGATATTTCGATTTTTAAGGTTCGATGCATTTTTAATTATTTATGGGAAAATAATATTTTTTTTACATTTTCGATTTGGGCATTACAAGTAATTAAGATGATCGTTTAGATTGTGTTTTTAAACACAGTAATAATTCCTAACTCCAAATAAACACAAAAAACAGAATATTAATTTGTTTAATTTTCCAATATTATTTTTAAAAAATTAAATTAATTATTTACAACTAAAATGCTATTGGATAGTTAGGACAAACATACAAAATCTAAAGTAGTTGCTCGAAATGTAAACCCAATTGTTCAATAAACAATTCACATCTACGAATGATCGAACGTGGTATAGCTTTCTTCAAATAAGGCCTTATTTCATCACATGCATTCCTGATTCTGTCTATTAGCATATCTCTTGTGGTTACAGGAGTCTGGTACACTTTTTCTTTTAGAAATCCCCACACTAAGAAATCTAATGGATTTAGGTCAGGTGATCGTGGAGGCCAGGCGACTGGTCCTCCACGGCCGATCCATCCTTCTGGATAATTTTCGTCCAGCGAGCTTCTAACTATTTTCGAATAATGAGCTGGACAACCATCAAGCTGGAACCAGGCCAATGTTCTTAAATCTAACATAACATCATCCCACATATTTGCATGTTCAGCCTTTAAAAATTCCAAGAAGGTCGTAGCATGTAACCTTGCAGGCAAAAGGTAGGGTCCAAATAGTCGATTACGGTAGATACCAATCCATACGTTCACATTAAATTCATGCTGAAAATTTCTTTCCCGAACTGCATGCGGATTTTCATGTGACCAAATATGTTGATTATGAAAATTTACCACTCCACGTCTAGTGAAGCATGACTCATCGGTCCACAAAACGTTACTTAAAACTCCCTATTATTATCAGTTCTATCAAGAATCCACTGACAAAATGTGATTCTTCGTTCTCCGTCCCCTGGTTGTAGTCCTTGCACAGGTTGCAAATGGTAAGGACGTCTACGGTCATTTATAAGAACACCGTGAACATGGCTTGCTGAAATTCCCAAGGCACCAGAAAGTCTCCTAACACTTGTGGTCGGATCTCTATCAAACTCACGCAAAATCATACGGGTAAATCTGCGCTGACGAACATTTATGTTTTGATCCCTTTGGAGATTTCCAACACCATTTTCAATTATTTGGCGATGCACTCTTACAAATACTGAGCGAGTTGGATGTCGTCTGTTTGGAAGTCTTCGTGCGTATTCTCTGGCTGCTTCTGCTGCGTTTCCATTTACAAAGCCATACACAAAATGAATATCCGCTAACTCTTGATTGGAGAATAAAAATGGCATTTTTATAAAACTTACAAAAAAAAACAGGTAAAAGAAACTAAATTTCGTGCATTCACAATTGCAAAAAAACGTTTCAGGTTTCAACAGACAACAAAACTAACTGTCAACTAATTGACGCTTAACCTTATTCTGCTTTCAATTTCAAAAATATTTGCAGGCACAGCCTACTTCTAAAAATTATCGAGATACTGACTTTTTAACGTTATTTTATCACGAATAATTAAAAATGCATCGAACCTTAAAAATCGAAATATCTCAAAAACGGCTAACTATAACGAAAATTCACAAGAGAGCTTTTTATGTTGAAAAGTGCGAAGAATCAGTTTTTTTATTCAAAAAGCAAAAAATTGCACTAAGAAAAAATTTTCGGTCATTTTAATACACTACAATACACTACAGGTACAGCAGAGAGCGCGCTCTAGCGGCTACAGTAAAACTATGCCCATGGTTCGTTTTGTCGTACCAAAAAACCCTTGTATACCAATTTTCACTGTTATACATCAAATATTGTTCGGAATATTTAAAAAAAAAACTATTTTAGAAAGTAAATTTAATCACCCTGTATTTCGTAAGCCACGCATTTTTCGACCCATGTTTATATAGACTTTATGCATTAATTTTAAAAGTTCTATCGAATCTTAAAGTTATGCAACAATAAACTGAAACACCCTGTATGATTACCAGGGGTATTTATCCTTCAATAAATCTTCAAGTCATCAGCACAGTACAGGCGTTCACATTCTATCGATTCACAGAGGTCGTTAATAAAAATCAGCAAATAATAATCGTCACAGGTTAGAGCCGTGTAGTTTAGGTAACGATATCTATCAAACATCACTATTTGGAAACATTAACGTCTACGATTTAGCTTTACGGTTAAATCCTGTTTCATTAACCATAACAACATCCTGAAATGATGACGCTCGTAACTCCCGAATGCAAACCGTTATGACGTCAGCCGTTGCATTGCTAATATTATTAATAGCAGCATGATGGTTAGCTGAACATAAGCAAAATTGCTCCTTTAGTTTGATCAAAGACTGCAAATTCCTGTTTCGGCTTAGCAAAGTGAACATAATTAACAAGGCACTGAAGACCCTCAAGCAAAAACGAACGAACAACAGTGGTAGTAAAATAATTAATATCGTTACTTCTCTATTTAATTGTATCCTCCGTGAATAGCGCGACTACAAAAATGTTAATCAAGAAGTTCAATTAGGCGAGGTAATAAAGCCTGGTATTTTAACTCAAAGTAAAGTTTTCATAGATATTTTCTTTTGTAATGGAGTATAATGGATTTTCAGAAGAATGGCGGAACGTAAAGCACACAGTTTTTAATCAAGCTGTGATAGCCAATTTGTGCTCAGGGTTTGTTTTCAGAACGTTTTGTGATATCTAGATTAGAAAAATCTGCGCTGGTCGACATTTCTGAGAAATTTAATCCGTTTTTAAAAACCGAATCGAGGTTCTATATTTACCTGAGAAAAAAAATAAATCGTTGAGATTAAATGGAGTAGACAAAAACAGAAAAACGTGACGGAGGTTATTGCTTCTGTCACATTATTTGTCGAAGGTTTATTATAATGTTGATAAAATATTTTCAGAACCGCTTCAGATATTTCACTGATATTTGTAGGTAGTGAAAGTTAATAAAGTTGCATATTTTTCGATGCAAGAATAATTTTTGGCTTCAACAGTGGCGTGCGTACGGGTATTGACTTCGATAGTTTTTCAGAAAAAATGGTTGGCATCAAATTGTTTGGAGAATTTTAGTGGATTTTTCCAGAAAAAAATGGTACGCCAATAATTTTTTTCCAAATCAAAATTATTTAATTTAATTAATTGCCTGTTCAATTCGAAACAAATGATCTCTCCTGAATTGTTTTTTTTCGATGCGCCATTTTTGAGTAAAAAAATAAAAACCGTTCTATTGTCTAACTTGCAAAATTGTTATTAATTTAATTGGAAAAATTAAACACATTAGGGGTCATGAACAACAACAACTGACAACATAAACGTAACACTAAAACCAACGAAATGATTACAAAAATTGTTGAAAATGGCCCCCTTACGTACGCCACTGTTAAAACTAAACATTGTTTTTGCACACATTAAACGGAGAATCAAAAAATATTTTTTTTTGCCAAAAAAACCATTGGCGTACCGTTTTTTTCTTAAAAAGTGTCAAAGTCAATACACGTACGTACGCCACTGTTGAAGCTAAAAATTATTTTTGCATTGAAAAATATGCAACTTTGTTAACTTCCACTACATACTAAATATCAGTGAAATATCAGAAGCGGTTCTGAAAATATCAATTAATTTCCATTTTTTTCCTAAAACTTCAACACCCCGAGTTTTTGTAAGGAAACATTTTTGGACCATAGCTTATAAAGCAAACTAACATTAATTTTTCAGTATATTCACATCCTTAAATATCTGCATACCATTAAGGAACACCCAGTATACAGGGTGTTTCAGTTTATTGTTGCATAAGTTTAAGATTCGATAGAACTTTTAAAATTAATGCATAAAGTCTATATAAACATGGGTCGAAAAATGCATGGCTTCCGAAATACAGGGTATTTAAATTTACTTTCTAAAATAGTTTTTTTTACAAGGGTTTTTTGGTACGACAAAACGAACCATGGGCATAGTTTTACTGTAGCCGCTAGAGGGCGCGCTCTACTGTACCTGTAGTGTATTAAAATGACCGAAAAAATTTTCTTGGTGCATTTTTTGCTTTTTGAATAAAAAAACTGATTCTTGGCACTTTTCAACATAAAAAAGCTCTCTTGTGAATTTTCGTTATAGTTAGCCGTTTTTGAGATATTTCGATTTTTAAGGTTCTATGCATTTTTAATTATTTATGATAAAATAACGTTAAAAAGTCAGTATCTCGATAATTTTTAGAAGTAGGCTATGGCTGCAAATATTTTTGAAATTGAAAGCAGAATAAGGTTAAACGTTGACAGTTACTTTTGTTGTCTGTTGTAACTTGAAACGTTTTTTTGCAATTGTGAATGCACGAAATTTAGTTTCTTTTACCTGTTTTTTTGTAAGTTTTATAAACATGCCATTTTTATTCTCCAATCAAGAGTTAGCGGATATTCATTTTGTGTATGGCTTTGTAAATGGAAACGCAGCAGAAGCAGCCAGAGAATACGCACGAAGATTTCCAAACAGACGACATCCAACTCGCTCAGTATTTGTAAGAGTGGATCGCCAAATAATTGAAAATGGTTTTGGAAATCTCCAAAGGGATCAAAACATAAATGTTCGTCAGCCCAGATTCACCCGTATGATTCTGCATGAGTTTGATAGAGATCCGACCACAAGTGTTAGGAGAGTTTCTGGTGCCTTGGAAATTTCAGCAAGCCATGTTCAACGTGTTCTTAGAAATGACCATAGACGTCCTTACCATTTGCAACCTGTGCAAGGACTACAGCAGGGGACGGAGAACGAAGAATCACATTTTGTCAGTGGATTCTTGATAGAACTAATAATAATAGGGAGTTTTCAAGTAACGTTTTATGGACCGATGAGTCATGCTTCACTAGACGTGGAGTGGTGAATTTTCATGCAAGGTTAAATGCTGCGACCTTCTTGGAATTTTTAAAGGCTGAACATGCAAATATGTGGGATGATTTTATGTTAGATTTAAGAAGATTGGCCTGGTTCCAGCTTGATGGTTGTCGAGCTCATTATTCGAGAATAGTTAGAAACTGGCTGGACGAAAATTATCCAGAAAGATGGATCGGCCGTGGAGGACCAGTCGCCTGCCCTCCACGATCCCCTGACCTAAATCCATTAGATTTCTTTGTGTGGAGATTTCTAAAATACAAAGTGACTCCCGTAACCACAAAAGATATGCTAATAGACAGAATCAGGAATGCATGTGATGAAATAAGGCCTTATTTGAATAATGCTATACCACGTTCGATCATTCGTAGATGTGAATTGTGTATCGAACAATTGGGTTTACATTTCGAGCAACTACTTTAGATTTTGTATGTTTGTCCTAACTATCCAAGAGCATTTTAGTTGTACATAATTAATTTAATTTGTTAAAAATAATATTGGAAAATTAAACAAATTAATATTCTGTTTTTTGTGTTTATTTGGTGTTAGGAATTATTGCTGTGTTTAAAAACACAATCTAAACGATCATCTTAATTACTTGTAATGCCCAAATTGAAAATGTAAAAAAAATATTATTTTCCCATTAATAATTAAAAATGCATCAAACCTTAAAAATCGAAATATCTCAAAAACGGCTAACTATAACGAAAACTCACAATAGAGCTTTTTAATGTTGAAGAGTGCGAAGAATCAGTTGTTTTATTCAAAAAGCAAAAAATTGCACTAAGAAAATTTTTTCGGTCATTTTAATACACTACAGGTACAGTAGAGAGCGCCCTCTAGCGGCTACAGTAAAACTATGCCCATGGTTCGTTTTGTCGTACCAAAAAACCCTTGTATACCAATTTTCACCGTTATACATCAGATATTGTCCGAAGTATTTAAAAAAAACTATTTTAGATAGTAAATTTCGGAAGCCACGCATTTTTCGACCCATGTTTATATAGACTTTATGCATTAATTTTAAAAGTTCTATCGAATCTTAAAGTTACGCAACAATAAACTGAAACACCCTGTATTCAAAGTTGAGTCATTTATTTCAACTGCTGAAAGTACTCATCAAAAGGAGTCGATATACCCAAAATTACCACGATTGAACAGCCTTGAATTTCTACTCACCCCGTCCTCATCTTCGACGATATCCTTGCCGATCGACGCCAACGTGGTCCATTTGCAGTTGTTGATGGCCTTGGCGGCACACCTCTTGTGTACCTTCTGCTTGCAGACCTCGCACGAAAGCCCATGTGACGTAACGCCGGACAATGCGTCTCGACATACGTTGCAGTAGGTGGGACGTGCGTGCGACGTTGCATACCTTCAACAACATTTCAACGACTAATCAACACTAACACTTACACAGGTCAAAATTTGAATTACAAAAGTGTAAGGTCATGAAATGTCAAAATTTGTTGGAAAGAACGACATCAACAGAAAACTATAAAAACAACATTAACAGAAAAACTATAAAATGATATTATGATTACGTAACTTACTGATTATGACTAATCAAGATGGAACGGCGTCAAATACAATTATTATGAACGTGAAATAAAAAGCTATAGAGAAGCTTCCAAGCTACGCCACTGGAATCGAAGTATGATCTATGCATGCAGCGTTGGGAGTTGATGGACGAGCATCATTCTATATGGTAATTCCTCTGAAGGACGCTTTACAATTCAAATAAAAACTCAAGCGTGACGTAATTGGTGACAATTTCCATTTTGTCACCTGGTGCTTATCGAATATGAAGCGTATCCGACATTAAGTTTCGTACTCCGAAAGGGTGGCAATTTGGATCTGCTATGGAAAAGAAACTAATGGGAATTTTTTCGATGGATCAGGATCTGCAAGTGCGGTTTTTGGCCTCGAAAATAACTCACACTCCAAGTTGGAATTTTTGCATTCAACTTTCATTAACATTTCTCTTTCTATCTTAGTACTTGATTGGCCTTTGAATGCCCAAAGATCGGAAGCTTGGCGTTTTTGTCGAAAATTTACCTATTTTCGAATATTTAGTTTATGATGGACTTATGCAACATTTTTCTTGGAAATCAATACGGACTTACCAGTGATGCTGTCCGGAAAGGCAGTCGGGGTGGTCAGGTTCATTGTATTTGCGTTGAGATGCGGTTGACAGGGCACCGAGCCACTCTTCCATTTCTCTACGCGATTCACAGCAAAGCACTAAGGATCTGAAAGGAGTTATCACCTGAAAAAGCAACTGTCGATAACATGCTCTTCATATATTTACCTATAGTGTATAGTAAACTCAGGTAGCATTCGTATTGGATTTTTGTAATTTTTTAAGCAATTATGTTTTATTATCATTACATCAGTAGAGTGCATTCAAGTTTGTAGATGACGAGGGTAGTCGTAGCTTTCTAGCTAAAATGCAAATTCCGAATTCTCGGGGATGCAGCCAAACAGAAAATGAAGCCATAGAGCTTCCAGCCTACAATTATCATCCTCTCCAAACAATGTCTGAAAATGAGCAGGATTCTCTGAAATCTAACACTACGTTCCAAGGATTTAATTTGTTTATTTTGGAACCTTAAGTGGTTGATATGTTTATTTTCGAACCTTAAAGGGTTGACTTATGTCCTTTTGGAACCTTAAATGGTTGATACGTTTATTTTAGAACCTTAAATGGTTGACTTATGTCCTTTGGGAACCTTAGATGGTTGATTTATGTTTATTTTGGCACCTTAAATGGTTGATATGTTTATTATCGAACCTTAAATGGTTGACTTATGTCCTTTTGGAACCTTAGATGGTTGATTTATGTGAATTTTGGAACCTTAAATGGTTGACTTATGTCCTTTTGGAACCTTAGATGGTTGATTTATCTTTATTTTGGAACTTTAAATGGTTGATATGTTTATTTTAGAACCTTAAATAGTTGACTTACGTCCTTTTGGAACCTTAAATGGTTGACACGTTTATTTTAGAACCTTAAATGGTTGACTTATGTCCTTTTAGAACCTTAAATGGTTGATTTATGTTTATTTTGGAACCTTAAATGGTTGACTTATGTCCTTTTGGACCATTAAATGGTTGATTTATGTCTATTTTGGAACCTTAAATGGTTGACTTACGTCCTTTTGGAACCTTAAATGGTTGATACGTTTATTTTAGAACCTTAAATGGTTGAATTATGTCCTTTTAGAACCTTAGATGGTTGATACGTTTATTTTAGAACCTTAAATGTTTGACTTATGCCCTTTTGGACCATTAAATGGTTGATTTATGTCTATTTTGGAACCTTAAATGGTTGACTTATGTCGTTTTGGAACCTTAAATGGTTAATACGTTTATTTCAGAACCTTAAATGGTTCACTTATGTCCTTTTGGACCATTAAATGGTTGACTTATGTCTATTTAGGAACCTTAAATGGTTGATACGTTTATTTTAGAACCTTAAATGGTTGAATTATGTCCTTTTAGAACCATAGATGGTTGATTTATGTTTATTTTGGAACCTTCAATGGTTGATATATTTATTTTCGAATCTTAAATGGTTGACTTATGTCCTTTTGGAACCTTAAATGGTAGATTTACGTTTATTTTCTAACCTTAAATGGTCGACTTATGTCCTTTTGGACCATTAAATGGTTGATTTATGTCTATTTTGGAACCTAAAATGGTTGACTTATGTCCTTTTGGAACCTTAAATGGTTGATACGTTTATTTTAGAACCTTAAACGGTCGATTTATGTCCTTTTGGAACCTTAGATGGTAGATTTATGTTTATTTTGTAACCTTAGATGGACGATATGTTTATTTTCGAGCCTTAAATGGTTCACTTATGTCCTTTTGGACCATTAAATGGTTGATTTATGTCTGTTTTGGAACCTTAAATGGTTGACTTATGTCCTTTTGGAACCTTAAATGGTTGATACGTTTATTTTAAAACCTTAAATGGCCGACTAATGTCCTTTTGGAACCCTAGATGGTTGATTTATGTTTATTTTGGAACCTTAAATGGTTGACTTATGTCCTTTTGGAACCTTAAATGGCTGATACATTTATTTTAGAACCTCAAATGGTTGACTTATGCCCTTTTGGAACCTTAGATGGTTGATTTATGTTTACTTTGGAACCGTCAGTGGTTGATATGTTTATTTTATGGTCGAACAATCAATCATAATTAATAATAATAATAATAATAATAATATAAATAATAATAATAATAATAGCTTCAGTTCACAAGTTTTCTGTTGCTTAAAAGTATCTGCATCTCACAGAACGAATTGAAGATTAGGCGAAATGAGTGCTACATTTGAGGATCATAAAATTCAGAAAAATATACGTGTAGACATGAAAACTGTAACGTGTCATTTTCAAAAGCATCGCAGAACGCTAAAGTGGGACGTGTAGCATTGTGTCAGTGACGACACCACCGCAGGTTCACCAGTTGGAGTTTGTTAGCCATTCCACAGTCGTCGATTGCAAGTTATTCCGAATTATGAGCACATTGCTTCGTAATGATAGAACGTCTTTGACTGATACTAAAGACGTAACATGTACAACCCCCTATCACAATTTTTTAATCCTCAAAAGATAATGATATCAGACATCACAGATATTAAAAAAAACGAGCCATCTCTAATTAAAACGCCCGCACGAGGTTAGAAACTTTTGAAACAAACTGTAATGCATAAACAAAGGTTCTCGTACATTCTTAGCTCGTCGAAAATCTAATTTTCTCGGCCTATAAAATACACTCTCCTTATTCGAAGTGAAACGTTCGCAACATAGGATTTCTATTTGAAGGAGCGCGCAAGTTGACAAAAAATATTAAAACAGACTGGTTCCGAATCGATATCAGTTTTTTGTTTGAAACGTTATATGTATACACAGCTTAGGAAGATATTTAAATGCCTTTGAGAATAAGCAGTCAATCTTATTATGGTGCAAGTATACAGTTATTTTTGCCAGCAATAACACGACACGTGTTCTTACGTCCATATGTATTATTAGATTGTTACTTTTTGTGAAGGGTATTTTTCGACTGAAATCTGTCTTAAGCAGGGAGATAGACGTCGAAGCGCGTTCTGTAAGAGATGCTCGAGTATTTTTTTGGTACAGTTTTAGCCGCGATTCAGACACGTGCTTTCGATAAGGGCCACGTGAAAAGTCTTTCAAGGAAGGTCTGCTTGGTTGTGGGTTAGCTTATGAGGGATGACGTATGACAATAATGTTTCCTTAAGCATACTCGTATTTTAAATTTTTTTTACAGCGCAGCAGCCGCGCAGGCAAAGCCTAAATGACAGGGCACCGCGGCTACCATGTGTAGCACGAAGAAACTTTTTTTAATCAGATTTCTGAACTATCTAAGGTTAGTAGAAATGGTACAAGCCTCCTCTGGTAGATTCCCTAGAGACAAAGGAATGGTCGTATCGGCCAGTTATGGATGTACGAAGTTCGACACGGTTAGGATGAGATGCCGAAGTCAGGCGGGTGTATTTGGCAGGCATATATCGTGGCGGCATCATGGAGGAGACAGTATGGCGATTGTGAAAGTTTTTTCTCTCTTACTAAAATGCCAAGAATGGCAAACTTAGGGGGTTCGATCATCCGTGCGTGCAAATTTGACCAACGTACCTAGAATTTGGGGTTTTATAACAAAATATTTTTGACGGAAAAATGCAAAGGCCAATTATCGAGAGATCCGAAAAGTTTTGTTGGATGACTTTGTTGTTGAAGATTCAGTTTTTCGCTTATGTTGAAATAATCATGAATTGGAGGCGAAAGTGAAAGCCGAGAAGATCTTCAAAACGAGATCTTATATTTTACCCTTATTTTCCAGTGGAAAATGCATACCAGCAAATTTGAAATAATAATCGCCTTTGTGGCGCTTAACACAAAACAATCCAGTTTAAAATACTTCATGGTTTCTGAAAAAAGGGACTCGCCTCATTGAGACTTTTACCTCTACCTTTTAAAGATTTTGAAATTTCTCTAAATTTTCAAAGTTTTTAGAATTTTTGATTTTAAAGAATTCAAATATCAAAACCAAAATTTCAAAATATGAGCTGATAACTACGAGTCTTACAGACTAGTGTGAAATTTAAATGTTAAATCTACGAGCCCCTTCCCACTTCAGTTGGCCCACTTCAAGATTTGTACCAAAATATGCTTTTATAATAATAATAGTAATAATAATAATAATATTTATTCACTCAATGTACAAAGATAACAAACAATATGAGTAAATAAATATAAAATCAAAACAGGCCCAATAGAAGGCATCGCCTGCACATGGACCAATAAATTTAAGTTTAAACTGGTGAATGCAAATGACAAAAAAGGACAGTAGATTATGTATTTAGTTGATGTTCGTATTTATGAGTTTATGAATTTCAGTCCTAGATATAGAATGTAGCCACTTTTTTAAATTTCTTTTGAAACAATTTCCGAAACGTAAATCTTTTAAGTCTTTAGGTATAATTTCATAAAATTTAGGTGCTAAATAGAGATATGATCGCTGCATTATAGATTTATGCGGTTGAGGAACTACTGTGCGTGCCACGAATTTTGTACCTGGTATAATGATTATGTTTAATTTTTTGGTCGGTGTTTACAAATTTATGGTAGTGAGTGATACTGTGTAAGAAATAAAGCTGTCTTATATCATACATTCGAACATCTGCGTATAATTTTTCAGTGGGATAAAGTTTCGGTTTTTTAAATATCATTTTTAGAATACTTTTTTGAAAAACATCTAAATTATAGATATGTGAGGAACATGCAGCTCCCCATGCTAATATACCATATGTGGGATGAGGCTCAATCAGTGCATGGTATAATGTTCGAAGATATTTTTCTGTCAATATATCAAGGTATTTAATTTTGTAGGATACAAATCTAACTTTCTTTAAAATATAATTGACATGGATGTCCCATCGTAAGTGAGGATCCAAGACCACTCCAAGGTATTTTATGTTGGGCACTCTATTAATTTGCATTTTTTGATCATTAATATTGAAGGAGAAATTTGTGTAATTTGGCAGATGTCTAGCATAAGATCCAAATGGTAAAAAATGTGTTTTAGAGTAGTTAATGCTTAAATTTTCTACTGTTAAACCACCGAATAATTTTGATAAAATCATTTTCAATTACATTTTTCAGATCAGACCAGTCAGTGCCTTCATATAATATTGCAGTATCATCTGCTAAACTAGTTATTTTGCCAACACAATTAATTTG